AGGTTAGAAGCCTATAAAAGAGGGAGCATGAGCTAATGATAAAGCCCAACTCCCTACCCAACTTGTCTAATACCAGCCTAACATTCTGTTATGAACTGCTTGTTTGGTAACCCCAAGAGTAGGAGGTTCTTCCCTAGGTTGCTTATGGGGGAAGAATGGAATGATGGTCTCAACTGTATATGTAGCACAGGAGCCAGATGTGTATTGCAGCATAGGCAATAAGAATAAAGAGGATAGTGTGAAGACTATCCTTGAACGAAGTTCTATATGTGAAGATACAGAAAAGAATGAAGAGAATAGACTAGAGATCTCTAGCCTATTCTATGGGCCTTTTATACTACTTTAGGAAAGGGTGCAAAAATCCCATATCTGTATCCATAGGTATTCTCTAAGTCATTTCTCTCTCAAAACAACTACTCTTGCTTCTCTGCTTGTCTCCTTCTAACCAGGAGGACAAGAAGCTCCATGTTCATGTGCGAGTAGTTTGTAAGGTGGGAAAGGATGCCCACTGCAACAGGCTCATGATACTCAACCAGTGATGGATAATCCACTGGGAGTAGATGACCAAAGATAATATCTGTACCTTTATGTATGCCTCAGGATATGAGGCCACTTAGTAGTTGTGATGATTGTATTGGAATAGACCTCTGTAAAGGCCTAATAAGCTGTAATCATAACATATTCACCTCTCATCCCTTTTAATGTTTGACTTCAATATACTTACTATAGAGATTGTTCAAAGAGTCTATAGTGCTCTATTGCTTGTAGGGTTTGACATAGTGTTGGTCTCTAATGCCTCTAATACTATACTCTTTTCTACTTTTGTGAACTTGTCATCTACATAGGGAGACTTAGCTCATCTCAAATTGAGGTCTGCTCTTAAGGTATATTTGAACCTAGTTGCCACATATTAGACACCTCCCTAATATTTTTGTAGAATACATCTAGGAAATCACTCTCTTGTATTATGCTCTAATTAGTTCTAATTATGCATAATTGGGAATGATTAGGATTATAGATTATTCACTTACCTCCCTCCTCATAAACCTATTCTAATTAGACATAATTTTCCTAAATTAAGAATTATCAGGATTGATTGCAACTTGAAATTTTGGAATAATAATAATAAATCAAGCATCACAGTTCTCATAGCCTTCTTATAGAGTCATATTTATTAGAGCACTAGTTGAATACCTAAACACAGAATATACCTTATTACAAACTTGCCTTTTGCTAGAGTTAAACCAACAACCTCATATATGCAAGCACCCAAGACAAATGCTCTAAGCTACTAAGCTATAAGGTCTAATATATTAACTTGGTAATCTAAATAAGTAAACATAATTTTAGGCAACATTTATCTTTCCTCTCTCTTATAAATAAACAGGTCAATAAATACCTAAAAAGTCAGGTCTTTTAAGATTTAGTTTAAGTACTAGCTAAAAAAGATAATAAACCAATAGAAAATAGATAATACACTTTATTTAGGGTAAAAACAAATTATGGCACTTACACAATTTGGATTTAGAATGTGTAAAACTATGATTGAGTATAATATTCAATGGGACTCTACTAGTATGGACAATGCTACCTTAATTTGCAAATTTGATTAAAAACACAAATATGAATAATTAGCCATAATTAGCTTAAATTAGTATTATTAGTAATTATCAATAATTAAGATCCAATAAGAGAGAAGGGTTTTCCAAATGGCCACTAGTAAGGTGGAGAGTAGGGACAAAGGTATATGTATGGCATGCCTATGTATAAATAAGCACAAGATTGGAGGTGATTTTAATATGCTTGGTACCATATTTTCTATATGGCAGACAAATATGTTATTCTGGCACCACATACCTATATGACTGTCTTTTCCACAACCCAATAGCTAGAGAAAAAAAATACCAAGTTTGAGCATATTTTGTATAATAAGGCAATGGACAATATGGATAGGCATTTGGAAAACCACTCCCTTGTATTAAGCTCTAATTAGTTTTATTTATGCATAATTAAGAATGATTAGGATTAGACATTTTTAGCTTACCCCCCCTCTAAACCTATTCTAATAAGACATAATTTTCCTAAATTACGAATTATTAGGATTGATTATAACTTGAAATTTCGGAAAAACCATAATAAATCAAGCATCAGTGTTTTCATAGCCTTCTTATAGAGTCATGTCTATTAAAGCACTAGTTATATACCTAAACACAGAATATACCTTATAACAAACTTGCCTTTTGCCAAAGTTGAACCAACAACCTCATGTATGCAAGCACCCGGGACAAATGCTCTAAGCCACTAAGCCACAAGGTCTAATATATAAACTTGGTAATCAAAATAAGTAGACATAATATAGGCAACCTCAACATCTCTGATTTTATTCAACATCTATCTTTCCTCTATCTTATAAATAAATAGGTCAATAAATACCTAAAAAGTCAGGTCTTTTAGGATTTAGTTTAAACACCAGCTAAGAAGATAATAAACCAATGGAAAATTGATAATACACTTTATATAGGATAAAAATAAAGTATGGCACTTATACAATTTGGACTGAGAATATGTAAAACTATGATTGAGTGTAATATTCAATGGGACTCTACTAGTATAGACAATGCTACCTGAATTTGCAAATTTGATCAAAAACATGATTATAAATAATCAAGATCCAATAAGAGAGCGGTGATACGCTAGCAATGCCTCTGAGTGCGAAACACACCCAAGAGACATCCCTACAAGCACAGGTAGGCAGGAGCTGGTTCTAGTATGCAAGGAACTATAAGCTGTGCAACAACCAACAAGGGAGCATACTAAAAGCGTTTGGAGTGTAGTGAACAAACAACTCTAAAATCAAAATATTTGGTCGGTCAGTCGGTCGGTAGGTCAGTCGGTCAGTCAGTCAGTTGGTCAGTATTTGATCAGGATTTGATTGGGACACAAAGGAAAGGGAATGGGTGCAAGGCCATACTGGACACTGGCAGAGGATGACAAACTAGATGAGAGGGAGAGAGCAAGACGATGAGGGCTCTGACGGAGGGCTGCAATCGAACACAACAACACAAACAAAAGGGCAAAATGTGAACAAGAATCGGAAGGCAATGGCTCAAAGTCTCATGGACACAAGCGCACAAATGGAATCGGAACAAGGGGGGAGCCAAAGCTAATGTATTGCAAGGCCATAGGTGCTCTTTTATAGTAAGTCCGAACAGGTACAAGATAAGGAGATTGGCAGAGGCATAGAGCAGTCAGAAATGTGTGCCAAGAGTGATCAAAGGTAAGGAAGATAAGGGAGTGATGTTGCAAACACTATAAGATAAGAAGCAATAACTCTAAAGTCTAAATAAGTGGAGAGATTGCCAAGGTGAGTCCACATGGACCCAGAGATAAGAACCACATGCCACATGGGTAAACCATTTAGAAACTTGGGAGCTCTGAAGATAATAAAGGATAGGTCAACAGAAGGCATAAGGGTGATAAGAGATAGAAAGACAGATCCGTTCTAAGTCAACAAAGTGTTCAACTGCCTCCGATTCGGGACACCGAAGCTGACCAAATGTGCCGACCATGTGAAGTGTACCAAACCGATCGGCGATCGGCCGCGACAGTCTGTGGAGAGCCACTACTGCTGAGAGTGATGATAGATGGATCAGATGACTGTGAACAGCTCCGAACAACTGTGCGGAGGTCTAAATGGAAAGTCGGCACCTGACAAATGGCTGAGATCGCCGAACAGATCGGGATCGGTCGGTCCTAAGTGTGCCGAACGGTCAAAGAATACTGAAAAGCTGCAAAAAGTGGGGTATTAGTGCCTAGAGCATACCCATGCTCATCAGCGGGGTTTTCCAAATAGCCACTAGTGCAGTAGAGGGTGAGGACAAGAGTATATGTATGGCATGCCTATATATAAATAAGCACAATATTGTTAGAGGTGATTTTAATATGCTTAATGCATATATTTCCTATATGGCAGGCAAATATATCATTCTGGCACCATATACCAACATGACTGTCTTTTCCACAGCCTAATAGCTAGAGGAAAACACCAAGTTTGAGTATCTTCTATATAACAAGGCAATAAACAATATAAATAGTGCTAGAAATTGTAATATCAATAGTGATGATGATTGTGTGCTGCACAAGACAGTATTAGCCACTATACTAGTAGACAAGGTCTATAAGGCTGCATATAGCATATCCCTAAGTCCAACCCACATGTTGTGTCCTATAATGACCAGTAGCAGGCATTGGCTAACAATGACAACTTGAATGATCTTGTGTGCAAGGACAAGGTACCTAGGTCTTCATAGTCTCTTGTGGCAGCTGCCAAGCTGCCAACAAAGTGGCTGGGGGCATCAATACACATTTCTCTCTTTCTATATCCCTTGTAAAGGTAGCTGGAAAGTCAGCAAAAGAGCTACAAGATGATGGTATAGGCATATATAAAGGAGAGGTGATGTGCTAAAATAGTATAGAATATGCCACATTTTTATCTTCTCACTGATAGAGCAGTAGTACTTACTATTTCCTACTGATAATTAAAGACTTCTTAGTATAGAATTAGTGCTAATATCATGAAATTAGAAACCAATCCAATGCTCACAATGTGTTGCTCCCAATTAGGAAATTAGACACTTTTAGATACTATTAACACTTTTAGATACTTTTGGACACTATTAGATATAATCCAGAGCTAATACAAGGGGGTGTTTTTCCAGATGTTGGCCTGTGTTGATTCAAGTGCCCAAAAGGGCTGGATCAGGGGCTAGATGATCCCAATGTATTATAGCAGCCCAAGTTCAAGCCGGTGGTAATCTTTGGACACCCAGTGGGCAAATAAGTTCTGGACTTCCTTGTGCTATTAGAAATGTCAATGAATAGTAATATAACTATTTTTAGTCCAAGCATACCTTCAATTTGATGATGCCAGATTGCACTAGGTGTCAAACTTGAGGTAAACTCATCTCACGTGAATGGGCACCAGACCAGTGGGTGCCAAATCAAGTCTTCCCAATATTCTGGAGTACACTGACATGTTCACCATCATCACCCTTAAATTGCATATGAAGATGCACTTTGGCATATGTTGAACTGCCAAAGTATGCCAAAATCACTTTCAAGATCTTGATCATCTAGAAGGTGACATGAGAGAAGTTCAATTCAAAGAAGCACAGGCACATGGTACCCATATAAATTGAGGCAGCTTGGTTATGGCCTTGATAATGTTGTGGACCTTTCTTTGCATAGATTTGTCTGACACCTCTCAGCACATCCCTTCCCTACTTCATGATGACCTCATTTGAGGGGTACTAATTATGATACTCCTAAAGCACATCAACGACAGTACATATTGCTGGGCCGCATTCCACGATCAGTATGATTCCATCTCCGGTCGACCATGTTTGCCAGCCAAAAACTCCTACTGATATAGGTATTCTGTATGGACACCAGTGGGCGCTAAATGAGCGCGTATATATGATTCGAAATGGCTTCGATGGAAACGTGCCGTACTCGTGGAGCATGAGCACACCTTTAAAAGTGTGAAGCTGGCCGGAGCTGGCAACTCTTTGACCCCTCTATACTACAAGCCTCTGCCGAAACAACCACAGCACTCCTTGACATCAGCTCTTGACATATCTAAAATCATCATGAGTAAGTCCTTCGTGGAAGTTGACTGCTCACGGACGATTCATCTCAACATCCAGCTGCAATCAATGAGCTCCACCAGCCAACAAATATTGGCATCCAAACTGATGACACTAGTTCCACATCCTCGTCCCACCCCATTTCGAATATTGCACTCCCGCAAGATCCTCGTAATCCTCCTGCGGAGGGTGCCGTTCTTCCTCCAGATTCTGAGATTTGTGTCTGTGGTAACGATGAGAAACATCATGAGCCTGCAGGAGGACCCAATCGTCCTGAGGCTGGGAACTCTTCGGGGTTTAATCATGGTTCCATCGCGGGTGCAGCAGGTGCAGTAGTAGGAGCGGCAGCCGCTCCAGCTGCAGCATCCGGTATCCTGGGTATGGTGGGATTTGGGGCTCAGGGAGTTGTCGCAGGTGCGCTCATACATAGTTCCGTCGTCTGCTGCCTGTCAAAGTACAACCTCATGGTTATCCATTAAGGATCTTGGGCAGCAGCAATGCACGCTAGCATCGGTAATGTCGCCGCGGGCTCTGCGTTTGCCCTTGCCCAAAGCATAGGCGCTGGGGCTGCACTTCCTGTGCTGGGCTTCGTCGTCGGTGCCGCTAGTGGCGGGCTGGCGGCAGCAGGTTTGGGCTACGCGGCATATAAGGTGTGCACTGCAGCGTCACAATCGGACGAAGCCGTGCCCGTCATATGCCCTAGGTGTGGTAAACCGAAGTCGTCCTAAATCCCTTCGTATACGAGGTTTCTTTCTGCACGGGCGGCTCAAAGGTGTAATAGTGGTTGTATATGTACTATCAGTGTTCCTGGCATCACATCGGCTAAAAATCTCTCCCGGACCCTTCGTTCCATAATTTCTGGCTCCTTCACTATTCTATTTGCAGGGCAGCAACAAACCCTCAGGCGTTCGGCTGTCGCCGAGATATCACTTCCTGAATGAGACTGCCCGCAGTCAAGTAGCTGATGGCAGTCGTTGTGAAAGCAGGTGGGGCAGTGCAGGATAGGTGGAGTCACCATGTTATGCTTTCCGATAAGAACAAAGAGCACAGGCGTGTGTTTGGAAACAAGGTCCCGAAGGGAACATGATACGATGCATTTGGCAGTGGGCGGTCCTTCTATCACTTTCGACGAGCGGCTCACTTCTGTCTTCCAGGCATACATCGAGTCAAATGTGAAATCATCATAAGCTCTACCTTGTATATCAAAATAGCATGAGCGCTAGGTACCCTAATAACCCAGAATCTTCGATGGGAACGTGTCGAAGCATATAAGGACACTCGTAGGGGGCAGACTGGCCAACACCCTTCGACCCACTCACTACAACTAATCGAATTTTGAAACATTCTCAGACTCTTAGTCTATCGCTCAACCGTCGCGAATCATAGGCGCAACATGAATAGTAAGTTCTTCATCGAGATCGAGTGTGACCTACACATCGACTGCTGATCACCTCTTGCAATCTAGACGCAATAAATCCTGCTGAAGAGGGTGCTGAAGCTGCTGTCCCTCAACTCTGCACCTGTGACGACCATACCAAGGTCGCTGTCACGGGTGCGGGTGCAGTGATAGGACTGGCTGCTGCTCCAGCTGCAGCGCCAGGTGTCCTAGCTCTACTTGGTTTCGGATCTGAGGGTATCATTGCAAGTGCGCTCATTCACCCCATTTGCTGCCCACCAACAGACAATGACTTTATATTATGCGTAGCATCATGGGCGGCCGCAGTGCAAGCTAGCATCGGTAATGTTGTCGCGGGATCCCCGTTCGCCGTCGCTACCAGCGTAGGAGCCGGAGGTGCACTTCCTGTCGCAGGCTTCGTCATCAGCGCTGCAGGCGGGATGGCGGTAGCAGGACTGGGATACGCAGTATACAAGGCGTGCAAGACTAGGCCTATCATATGCCCCACATGTGGCCTACCGAAGTCCTCTTAGATACATGGGGTTTTTCCTAGGCTGCTTCCTGTGGGTATGATTTAAGGAGAGGCCAATATCATAGTGCCGGAGGCAATGCATGTAATATATTGCCCGTATATCTCCGGAGTCGTTTGTTTCACACTTTCTCCTGTTGTTCTCACTATTTTACCAGCACTATGCAAGATCCCATAATTGTACCTTCGATCAATTTCCTTGACTCAGAGTACGTGACACACGAGTACTCAATATGACTACTTTTCTAGGAAAGCGAGAGTCAACTCGTCGCTCACCTGCCGCTTCCTGAATATGACCTGTCCCTTTCCCGGCAAAGAGGCAGAGCCAATGAACACATTTGGCGGGAAGTCTGCAGCGCCGTTCTCGAACTTGACGTCGTAGGCGACGACGACGTGCGCAAGCATTGCTTTTATCTCGTGGGCGGCGAAGAAGCGCCCGGGGCTGCGGAAACGAGGTCAACATGTGTCGTGAAAGATGTCGCGTGCAGTAGGGCGTGCTTTCCTGAAGATCGAGGGGCGTGCCGGAGGGGAGGTCGACGTACCAGGCGTGCTTGCCGTGCCCGAAGAATAGGAAGTCTGTGCTGGTGAACACTATCTGGAGTTTGGCCCTGACCAGGGCGCTCAGGTCGTCATCTGAATTGGTGTGATTCGCGCATGCTGGCGAAGCGCCAGGGATCGAAGACGTCGGAATGGGCATACAGTTCAGGATCGTGGTGTGTCGGCAGCGATGCGCACGAGAGAAACGTTCCCGCTGGGATCGTCTGACCGGTCGAGAGTGTGAAATGTTTGAGGGCATAGCGTTGAAGTGTCACTGGCAATCATACCCATGACAGTGCCGTAATAGAGGAGATTGATGGGTGAGGTTGGTAAACAGACACGGGTCAAAGGCAAGGAAGAAACTAACATAAACTAAGTCCATTGATGCGCTGCGATTCCCGAATGAAGCTGTCGAGTTTGAGCATCTTACCCACCGCGTGCTTCGTCCACCCATCTTCCGCGACCGCGGACTCGATCTCCTCACGCAGCACGCATGCGTACTCTGGATTCGCGGCGAAGTGGTAGAGCGTCTGAGTGAAGCTCTGCGAGACCAGCCATAGGGTCAAGCACCTTCACTTCACGGTCCATATGCAATAGGGTGGAAGAAAACCGCGGCGCACCATAGACGAAGTATCGATGGCCGTAAAGTTCACGGTGAGGATCCGAATCGCCAAGTTGCGTACGGACTGCTCTTGGCCCTAAGCTTCGTCCATCAACCACATAAGCATGACATTCTATGGCGCACAGCCGTGGTGAGTGTCAGATATTGCCACGTAGGGGCGTGGTTGAAGACGACGAGTTTGGGATAAAAGTCGCACCGGTTTATCATCCCATGAATCGCCCAAGGCGAGCTGCTTCGCACGACGCTCTTCAATTATGGGGGCGAGGTGGTGGATAGCGCGTGCGCTGGGGATGCTGGTAAGCAGGCGACTCGCAAGCCTGCATACGTCGTGTACACGTCATAAAAACAAGAGAAACAAGCAAGCATAGTGAGAATATGCCTTGCAACGCGAGGAGAGGTGAAGGAGCGGCCTGTGCACTGACGATTTCATCAAGTCTGGGAAGCGGTTGAGGACGAGAACGGCTTTGACGACGGCGATGGTGAAATCGACGTTAAGCGCGCAGAAATCCGCATCGCGACCTGCGTGAGCGACGCGCACGTCCAAAATCAAAGTGCAAGCAAACTACGGTTTAACATCTATTGTATTGAAGAATATTTCTGAGCAGCACTTACATTTTAGAAGGCCTACGAAAACGCGGTTGCTAGCCCAGGAAACGATCTGCATCACTGTTTCTTGAGCGGGATATGGAACCCATTCTACGATGATGTATGTCCTGCGGTCAGCCATCGTTGATCCCTTTTTCCGAATGTTTATTTCTCGGATAGGACTCAGCTGAAAAGAAAAATGGCGGGACTGACCATCCGTCACTGGTACGAGCCCATTGAACGCAGAGATAACCTCCTCACGCACGTCAGAGAAGAGCGCGTTGAGGCCTCTCGTCAGGCGCGAGCGAATGATGTGTATATGGTACAGGTCGCGCCGGATTTCCGGGACGAGGGTATAGTCGACCTCGGCGGTCTGTTCATTTCCTTTAGCAGTTGTCAAGAGATGTCGTTATGTATTTAGCTGCATCTCAACAAGACGTGGGGTCCGGACCGTAGTGTGGACTTAATGGAAAGCACCCACGCGTTGAACTGCATCGAGGAGGCTTAAGGTGTCGGTGGGTGCTTTGCTTATATCTTCGATGGCGCGGGGCCCACTCGCGATGACCTCCCAGTGGTCGAGCATGGCTATCTTGAACACTCCGCCTTTATACTGCCAGAAATGGTCGATCAATATTATTAGACTATCGAGGTAGCAGCTGCTTGCGAACTTTATCGTATCCTTCTTGTGTGAGCTTACGGCCATCAAAGAGATAGCGCACGGCGGTGATATAGGAGAGAATTTGAGTAGCCGATTGTGGGGATGGCATCGAGCTGTGCAGAGGAATGAACGAGCGCACTCGACTGGTGAAAGGGGATGCAGTCACGTACATTTGGACCGCGATTCTGATACCACTGGATTGCTAAAAATACCGCGACAAGCACAGAGGCGCAGAAAGTGAGGTCGAGGTCTTGTAACATGGCAAAGGGTGCTATGGAGGACTCCTATGTCTGAGACTTGTCGATCCATTTATATTTTGATGCTTCCTAGGGGGGTTGAACGAGAATGATATGAACGCAAAAATTGATCGGGCAGGTCACGACAGTGTCGAGTGACCCTGACATCGCATCGAAGCCATGTATTCTGGCTTGACCGCATGGTTGGCATGCAGCGAAATCTGCTGAGAAAAAAGCAAGGCAACGTCTTGCCCTAAATGGAGACCGCTGCGCCCGGTCACACTGCATTGGAGGCATCCAAGGCAAATGCAAGACTGTCGACGCGAACGTCGCTGGCTGCGATCCGGGAGGCTCCTAAGTCAATGGCTGCATAAGGCAAGACGGGTGTCCAAGGCGTGAATGACGACGCGTCTTTTGGCGCCGCCCCGCACGACGTCATGGGTGAAATCACTCCCTGCCCTCCTATATCTTTCGCCGACTGCTCTCCTCCCTCCCGCTCATTTCCCTGCGACGAGCCATGAGACTATCACTCCTCTTACTCTTCGCCATCGGCGCACAAGCCTCTTGGTTTGGTTCAGATACTCCAGGTCCGTGCCCGAGCCATGCTCTAGTTGTCCATCATACTGATCAAACATCATCGTAGCATACCAAAATTGGGACACCGCCCAGCTCACTGCATGGCTCAAAGAGCACAACGTCCCTGTGCCCACAGGCGCCTCTACGCAGCAGCAGCTCCAGGACCTTGTCAAGTCGAACTGGGCCGCCGCACAGCAGTACAGCGCAGACTCGATCCACGCAGCACAACAGTACGGCGCGGACCAGTACAACGCCGCACAGCAGTCCTTCCAGAATATCAAAGACGCCGCCTTCGATACCTGGGACGAGTCTGCTCTCCGCCAGTTCCTACTCGAACATGGCGTCGTCGCGCCCGCCGGCCCACGCGAGCAACTCGTCCTCCTCGCACGCCAGCAGTTTCGGGGTGCCCAGGATGCCGCCTCCTCTTTGTCGTACAAGGCCTCGACGGGCATTTACGGATCACCTAATTACCAGGCCTCGCGTTCCGTCAGCTCCATCATTGCGCAGGCGACAGCAGAAGTTGGAAAGAAGTTTGACGCTTCCAAGGACTATGTGTATTCCACCTGGGACGAGAATCAGCTCAGGAAGTTTTTGGAGAGCAAGGGCGTGCTCAACAAGAAGCAGCAGGCAACGAAGACCGAGATGCTCGGTATGATGCGCGATTATTATGCTAAGGTCGCGGATCCTGTCTACTCGACTTGGTCTGACTCCTACATGGTGAGCCCTTCCTCCGATTGTCCGATCACATGTAGACGTCGTGCTGATTGTGTTTGGACTTCGTGTAGCATGACTGGCTCGTCTCGCATGGCGTGTACCCGCAGTCATCGACTCCACCTTCGCGGGCGACGCTCAACGAGCGCATGCAGCAATATTACTACAACACATCCCAGAAGGTCTGGAACACGTGGACAGAGTCACAGATGAAGGAATGGCTCGTCGCGCACGGTGTCATCAAGAGCGACGCGCAAATCAACCGCGACAAGGTCGAGCGGCTCATCGCGTAAGTAGCCGATCCCGTCCCGTTCGAAAAAATTCGTATTGACCTGTATTGGGGTTTCCAGAAACAATTACGCGACCGCGAAGGACACCGTGTGGGATTCATGGCGCGATTCGGATATCCGCACATGGCTTGTTGAAAACAACTACGTGAAGAGTCAGGAGAAGGCGAGCAAGATGACGCGCAAGGAGCTTGTCACACTCATCAACAGCAAGTAAGTTTGTTTCGCCAGCGTCTTATGGTCATTCACATCTGGGTCGGGGCTAATCTTTTGTGAAAAGGTACAATGATGTTTCGGCGCGCACTGCGCCCTACCTTGTCTGGCCTGATGCACGGTTACGTGCGTTCCTGCGCGAGCAAGGAATCTCGGAAGAAGCGTTGCCAACGTCGCGCCCCGGCCTTCTGCGTGCGCCTACCTCATTGCTGTCCCCATGAGTTGCATACTAACACATGATACATGTTGCAGAGGAGGCGCGTATTCGGTATACGCAGGCACAGACACATTCCGAGGCGCTGTTCCATAGGGTGCGCGAGTATCTGAATTCAGGGATCGAAATTGCGGAGGAGAAGCTATATGCTGTGCTACAAATTTTGACAAGCGGAGCGTGGGACCGAGCGGCGGATGCAACTGGTTGGGCAGCGGAGAAGGGTCGCGGGGTGCGGGACCAAGCGACAGATGCGGGTGGTTGGGCAGCAGAGAAGGGCCGGGTCGCGCGGGATCATGCAGCAGACGCGGGTGGTTGGGCGGCAGAGAAAGGTCGTGAGGCGACCGATGCAGGGACGGATGCGACAGCAAAAGCAAAGAAAGTGAAGATCACGACAGAACTGTGAGTGGAGTTTCGGAGTCTTGAGAATTGGGCAGAAGGATGTTACTTTCGCGAAACTTTTAGTTAGGGAAGCGGACGCACCAGTTTGTAAGTTCATTGTGGACGGGCGACGTTGTATTTTGTATAGCATAGAAAACGGTCAGAAGTTAGCAGCTGCGATGTTTACACTACACGTCTTGTATATTATCTAGCATTGGCACTGAATGACAACGAATTGACACGTTTGCGTCAGTCCAAGTTTCCCCTGTGGATGTTCGACATCCAATGTTCACCTTGACCCCGAGCACTTGAGTATCTGAGTTCTCTTGACCAGATAGTCCCTCTTGTTCTTGCATCCGGAAGACAGAAATACAAAGCCGTCGTGTTCCAAAAGCAGACATGGGAGTGTCTATAGACTGGAGATCAAACAGGGTCAAACACGGTCCCACACGCTTACACAACCTCCCCAGCATGCGTCTCGGTGACACGGTCACCCGTCGGTCACCACGCCCGCGCTATTGTCGTTTTGCTTTTGTTCGGGAACGAAAATACAACAACAATGCTGTCACCTTGGCTTTGGCCGGCACACTCCCTGGGCCTACGGCATCTTGCTTTTGTGGCTTGTGGCTTTGGCTGTGACTAGGAATATAATAAGGGCTCTCTGTGGCCAGGTCTTGCTTTCAACCAACCATCTTCCCTTGGGATTCTCTTCTGTACACGCCTCGTCGTCGTGGTAGTCTGTGACCGACGTGCTTTTGTGATTCGTGAACACTCGAGGTGTTCTGTCCTCTCTCTCCCTCTCTCTAACACTTGCTAGATCCTGGTCTCGTCGCTCTTTCGCGAACGTTGTCGTTGGCGCCCTTCTATATCATTCGCGAGTTCGCCGGTCTCCTGTAGATCTACCCATCTGTCCATCTACATCAATTCACACGTGTATACGCTCAGTATCACCTATATCCTAGCTCCGTACGACAACAATCTGGTGCCGGTCCACCTCACGCCTACGCCGTTCAAGCCATCTTGCCGCCCAGCGCCCCATCTTAATACAACCAGCTCCATCTCCACTCTTCAACAGCATCAAAAATGCTTCCTCCTCGCGCATGTACGTTCTCTCATTCCTAAGACACGACAAAGCACTAACCCTCTATTTCTCCGTCCGCGTGTTCTCGTCGTGGCATTTGCGCGTGTAGACATCTTCATGTTTCTCAACGGCGTACGCGCGTTGTCAATCATCGCATGCATCCTCGTGTTTGCGAGCAGCATCGTGACATTGGTGCACGATGTCGAGGCCGTGAACAAGTTCATCGTTGCTGGAAAGGCGAACGCGACTGAGACAGGGCTGTTGGATTGCGATTATATCGCGTGCGTGTTGTCTCCTCGCTTGTGCACTCTCTATCCCCCTTTCCTACCTTTCCTACCTTGTTTCTTGTTGTATCATTTCTTCAGCTGACTGTTTGTGTTTTTGGCGCATACAGAGACAGCACAGTGCCGAACCAGCCCGCAGGCGCGTTCTGGGCAGTGCTCAACCGACTGCTCATCATCTGCCAGATCATCCTGCTCATCATGTCTGAGGTCGGCTGGCCGCAAAAGTTCTTCAGTCGCTTTTTCCCCGTGCTCGGCTACGACTTTGGTCTCGGTGCGCTCGGCATCATCCAGTGCTTGTGCGTACCCCTGTCCGCTTTGCTCGTGTATCCCTTAACTTGTTGACTGACCGCGACGAAACAGGATTGGCGCAGCCGTGCTCTCGCACCACGTCGACGACTTCGCGCTTGTCTCTGCCTTCTTCCTCTTTTCACTCGGATGCCTCAACATCCTCCTCGGCCTCATCTTCCGCGAACACGCGAAATCCAAGCGCTCGATCTTCTCGTGGCGCGAACACGCCCACAGCGGGCTCCCCACCACCGTTCAGCGCGCCACGTCGACCGCGTCCACGCTCACCGCCGTCTCGACGGGCTTCGGCTCTGCGTTCGGCAAATCCAAGAACGAGCAGCCGGTGAACCAGTTCGGCGCGACGAGCCCGAGTGCGGCGGAGCAGAACGCGGAACGGTGGGGCACGTTCGGCTTCGGCAGGCAGGGCGAGAAAAAGGCGGGGCTCAAAGGTTTCTTGCTCTCGAAGCCGTTAGAGACCCTCCCGAAGTATGCGCCCTCCCATGTGTCGACGCGGCCGGGCCCGAGGTCGTTCGAGTCAGATTCGACGGCCGTATGAGCGCGCTCGCTCTTCCTTCACCCGCACCCAGGACTTCACTTCTGCCCATGTTTTTGACGACGACGACGACGACGACGACTTGACACTCGGATTCGGGCTCGGACTCGGAGTGTACCATGCTCACTAGGACGCACGGACGCTTGGTCGTAATGTTTTGTAGTGCTATTGCCGCTATGCCGTGCGGCCTATCGTAGGTCCAGGTTGTACCTCGCCCTCTCTATGTAGCTCCTAGGTACGATTGGGAAACATTGTGTATTATTGCTTATTGTATACGAGGATTGTTGAAACGATGCTATTCATATGCAAGGAAGCCACATCCATTTCGATAATAGGTATGTACTGTAGTAGGCCAGAAGTATCTCTGGCTTGCTAGTCCAAACTTCCAATCGTACCTGGCCTATGGTGCCATTTGGGTCACCCGCGCGCAATAAAGCTCCTTGCACTCTGTACTGTTGTTCCTTCACCATTCGACTCTTGTCGGAACACACGCTCTTTCCAAACGGAACGCCCGGAAGGTATGTAACTTGTAACGAGAAATGGTGCTTGTCGAGGCCCACTTTGACTCCCTGACAGGATCGCGTTCCAGTAACGTGATGAGGTAGCTCGGTCACATGTACCGGACGCGTCGCGCTCCCAAACCCTTCTACAAATAGAATGAGTCTAGGGGGACCTGGTTGCGCCTAGGGCTTTGAGATCGATTTCTGAAGTCGTCTCAGAAAGGAAGGAGGTCTGATTGGGCGCAAAAGAGGTTCGGTTGGTTTCCCATAAGTAAGCCTCGAGGAGCTAAGGAAGCCTTTGGAAGGGTATCAATTCAGGTCAAGTCTCAAATCAGCTTCCGCAAAGCGCTGGACGCACTCGACGGCCAGGGCACCGGAGGTCTCGTGCATAGTAGCGGAGGGTGAAGGTTGCTGAACAAGATAGCGGTCGATTGAGGGGCGATTGAAAGGGTCGTCCTGGCTCGAGTCGTGTACGACTGGGCGGGCCCATGCTAAGATCCAGGTGGAGGGGAGGCTAGAACCTGCAAGGTACTCAGTGGCGGCACAGCAGTGGCACAGCACCGAACATGCTCCGTGGGTTGTCATATTTTATATGCACAAATGAACTTGTTCGGTTTTCCACGGTTCCCTGCACGCATGTGCGCTCGGCCGAATCAACTTTGAACTGTAGCACAAGTCTCGCAAAGCACTGTTCGGGCGAGATGAGGTCGGGGACGTTCTCAGCAATAATATGTGGTTTGCTGAGTCGTCACCATAGGATGCTTTCTCATCCCGAGGATGCTAGTCGAGTCACTTGCAAGTCCCGTCAGAGGTGAAACCTATTGACGACCGCGCCGGCGGCCGAACTGCTGCATATGTCGTTGTTGATGTCCATTGGAGCTGTGATCAGGCCTGATCGGTATCTACAAGTCGAAATTGTTGCTGAGATGAGAATAGAACCGTACCGCGTTGCGCAGCTGCGCCGCCGCGCGCGCTCGGCCCAACGATCGCTTACGCCTCCGGCCAATCGCTACACAGGGCGCGGAAGTTTTGAGGACACGGACGAGCAGACGGGTCGGTCCTTGATAATATCTGGAGACGCAGAGCCTTCGATGGGCGCGGCGTTGACAATGATGAGTGTGGTGCTTGATGATGCAGTTCCGACGCAGCAGGAGCGCACGTTGGTGCGGACGGTGTGGGATCGGCCACAGTTATGACGCGGAAGCAAAAAGAGATATTCACGCATGCCCTACACGGCCGGGGGAATGATGGGAATACATGGACGAGGCGGGTGTGGGCTTTGTCGAGACAAACGACGGCGGTGACGAGACGTCAGACTTTCTCGAATGAAGGGGAGACCGAACCGAGGCACGCCGACGCCGATTCCCGAAGCTCCGATCGACTGATAATCGAAATCTGCCAGTAATCTGCCCCAATCCGAGTTTGCCCAGCCGCCTTTCCGTATAAAAGCTGCCCTCCACCCTGTCGTCCGCTCCCCATCTCCTCTCTCACCACCACACACATCAATCACAATGGTACGTCCGTCGCTCTCTGTCCATGTGCTTGGGGTCTAGAACACTCACTGGTTTGGTTCCTGTCCGTCGCGGCTTGTAGGTCAAAGTCGGAATCAATGGGTGAGTGTTGGGTGGAGGTTTATGGTTTTTATTTTTGCACTCATACTGATCACACTCGGATCGGCGCTTGTATAGGTTCGGTGAGTTGATCTCAGAAGTATATGCGCCTGGATATCGTTTTTACCACCGTTCCTTGTTGTGCAGGTCGTATTGGCCGTATCGTTCTCCGTAACGCCCTCCTCGATAAGCGCATCGAAGTCGTCGCTGTGAACGAGTATGTCTGTTCCGCTTTGCCCCGTTATTTTCACATGTGCTGAGATCCATATTCAGCCCTTTCATCGCGCTTGACTACATGGTACGCTCCTATTTGTTTCGCTTCATCGTTCCGTTGGAACGCCGAAATTCACATGATTGCCTTCTAGGTCTACATGTTCAAGTACGACTCCGTTCACGGCCGCTTCAAGGGCACCGTTGAGGCTAAGGACGGCAAGCTCTATGTCGATGGCAAGGCCATCACCATCTTCAACGAGAAGGACCCCGGCGCCATCCAATGGGGCTCTGTTGGTGCCGACTATGTCGTCGAGTCCTCCGGTGTTTTCACCACCATCGACAAGTAAGCATTCACCCTCTATCTGGGGATCCCGTGAACGTGTCCTTATCCACTTGTTTTCGCAGAGCCTCTGCCCACTTGAAGGGTGGAGCCAAGAAGGTCATCATCTCTGCTCCCTCCGCCGATGCCCCGATGTTCGTCTGCGGTGTCAACCTTGACGCTTATGACTCTAAGTACACCGTCGTATGTATATTTTTGCGCATACGCCCATTATTCTTTATAACACCAATCATTCCCATAGATCTCCAACGCGTCCTGCACGACCAACTGCCTCGCCCCCCTTGCTAAGGTTATCCACGACAAGTACGGCATCGTTGAGGGCTTGATGAGCACCATCCACGCCACCACCGCTACCCAGAAGACCGTTGACGGACCTTCCATGAAGGACTGGCGTGGCGGTCGTGGTGTTAACGGGAACATCATCCCTTCGTCCACTGGTGCTGCCAAGGCCGTTGGCAAGGTCATTCCCAGCCTCAACGGCAAGCTCACGTGCGTTTGATCGCTCTCGTCTTGTCTTCACAGCTGATTGAAGTTTACCTCCAGTGGTCTCTCATTCCGTGTCCCGACCAACGACGTCTCCGTTGTTGACCTCGTTGTGCGCCTCGAGAAGTCGGCCACGTACGAGGATATCAAACAGACGATCAAGGAGGCGGCTGCCGGCCCCTACGCGGGCATCCTCGCGTACACCGACGATGCGGTCGTGTCGACCGACTTTGTCGGCCACCCGGCGTCGAGCATCTTCGACGCGAACGCGGGCATCCAGTTGAACGATAAGTTCGTGAAGCTGATCTCTTGGTACGACAACGAGTGGGGTTACTCCAAGCGTGTGTGCGACCTTCTCGTATTCGCGGCGCAGAAGGACGGCAACGCGTAAGGTGCTCGAACCTGGTGCTTGGCACTTTCGGTCTCGTATCAGTGCATATTTCGAACTGGAGAATAAGCAGAAGAAGAGTTGCCCAGGCTTGTACGATAGGAAGGGGGCGGCGCGCCGACAGAGGTGTCTTGTTTCCTATTCTGTTCGCACGACCTTGATAGACGCATGTAGTATGGCAAATCCAAAAGAAAGAAGTTTCTCTGTGTTGTAATCACATGTGTGACTGCGTACACTCGAGCTGAAACCGAAGACAGACGATATCCACCATGCCATTGATGGGTGTATCTCACTCCAAACGAACATGGAAATTCAAGGGTCATGGTTTGGAGAATGTGCACGTGACGCCGACGCGGTCTGAAGTGCATTTGTTTGCGCGTTGTTTGTGTAGGTGTGGGTTGCAGCTTGCCTCCTTCCAGTGACAAGCAAAGCATTTAGCTTGCGTCCGCCTCGCACGCCCGCCCATCTCTACTCTATCTTTCTACTATACAACCAAAATCCACACGCTCCTTGTTTCGTTCGTCAGCATACACGCACAGCCTACCTTTTCATACATTCTTTTATATTCCAGATGCCGGCGACGACGCAGCGCCAGGAACACCGCCGTGCACGGTCAGCAGCCGTGAGTGCCAAAGGGAAGCCGTATTTCTATCACCACAAGACGTCGGCCTCGGTCGTCTCTTCGGCAACCCAGGACCATTCGACGACGGCGGAGTATATGTCGAGAAATTCCGGAAACGAATCCAATGACTCGTTGCTCGAGACCCCGCCGCTCTCCCCACCTACTCACGAACAAGGGTGCGTGCATGGGTATGGAATCTCATCTGACGTCTCTTCTGCGTCTGGGCCCCATGGACCAACGTTGATGTCGCTTCTCGGACCCGGATCTGGACTGGGACTTGTGCTCGGAACCGGACAGAACCTTGGGAAGAGCACCCATGGAGATGGCGGCAGCGTGCCCGATATCCCAGGCTTCCCGACGTACGCAGAATGCAAGCGCATAGAGGACTCGTATCTCGCGTCGCTGTCGCACCGCAAGCAGCCTAAGGCACTCATCACTCAGGCTCTCTTCGACGATATCTGGGACGTCTTGCACGATGCCGACGGGGCCTCCTCTGGCTCACATCCCAACGGCAATGGTCCTGGCGGCGGCGGCAGCAGCAACGGCGGTGGGAGTGGTGGAGGCGCACGAGGCACCCCGCAATTCCGCTTCTGGGTGCGCAAGATGTTCGCACTAGAGTGGCCCCAGACGGCGCTTACGGGCCCGCTCTCGCGCACGTCGCTCGCACGCGCACCGGTTGTCGTGCACGATGCGCGGCCGGTTGCAGTGCGCGAGCAGTTGTACGAGGTGCTGTGCTACTGCCATGCGCTCGCGCATCACGGGGGGCGCGACAAGACGTGCGCGGTCGTGCGCGCGCACTACTCTTGGGTGCCCAAGGAGCTCACCGCGCAGTTCGTCAAGGCATGCCCGACGTGCACTGTCAAGCGCAGCGGGAATCCGGACCTGGTCGCAATGATGAAGCAGCAAGCGGCTGGGTGTGGGGTCATGTACGGACTCGGCGGTGGTGGTCACGGAGATGGCGGGGCAGCGCTGGTTCATCCTTCCATGCAATCTATGGAACAGCAGGTTGAGATGCAGATGGACTATACCGGAGTGCCGTACTGGGGCCCTGGGCCGAACGATCCTGCGTTCTGGACGCCGGTGGAGCTGTCTAGGATCGAACCTGCGGCCGTCAAGGAAGACGACGAGGTCAGCATACAAGCGCGGCCCAGCTCGCTCATGGACATCCCGCAATCGTGTCAGCAGACAGACCTGGCGATGCCCTCTGGATGTGCTCAGGACTCTACTGTGTCTCACATTCATTCTCGTTCTCGTTCTGGTTTCGGCTCTGGCTCTGGCTCTGGTTCCGGCGCTGTCTCTGGCTCTGGCTCTGGCGCTGTCTCTGGGTCCGTCTATAGCTTTGGTACTAGCTCCGATGCTGCACCTGTCTCTGACTCCACCAGTCATGGCTGTGAGGATAATTCTGGATCTTCTATTGGCATCGTGCCGCCGTTCGATGGACAATGGTGTACCTCACATGCACAGAATCTGATATCAGGCGCATACATGAGCCAGTCTGGGAGCTCGGGCCTTCTTGAATCCAACCTGGCTTGCGCGAATACAATGGTACCAGGACTCACGCTCCCGCCTTTGATGAAGGCTCTTTCTGAGGGCACCGTAGGCAACGATGTACCCATCTTGCTCTCGCCATTGAAGCAGTACCCGCGCATGCATCCGCCCTCGGCCGTGCAGGATATGCACATTGACCCTGCGCTGCTTATGGACTCCTTCATAGACTATTCGGGTGGGGAAGGCGACGGCGACGGCGACGGCGACTTCAGCTCTAGTCCCAGTACTCCGCAGAAGTCATCTCAGATGCGAACGCCCCGACAGACTCCACAGCGTCTAGCTCCTTCAAAGCACACGCCTTCCCATGCACGCGGAGGCGGTTCTTTTTCCAATCGTATCCTGTCCGCCTCGCCCACGCAGCGTGGTGGGAAGAAGGGTAGGGCGGCCCCTCCTGCACCGCTAGATTTCAGCAACCTGCTGGATATCGGACTGAGCCCAGACCGTCTGCTGCTGCGGGTGCGGTCAAGCCCGTTGCCGACGCCAACACTGGCCACATTCAATGCTCTTCGGGTCGGCGCTGATACGTACTCTGGGACGGTGTCTTGGCGGGGTTCTGTGTCCGTTTCTTCTACGCCCGATTCTGTGACCATGTCCGACGTATCTCTGCCTCTGTCCACTACTCCGATGTCGGGTGGCGATGGCGATGGGCCAGCAGACACGTCTGTCGGGAGCGCTGGGAGTGGCGACGAGCCAATGGTGATCACACCGCCGCGGTTCGCGGTGGGCACACCGTTCCTTGGATACGGAGAGGACGACGACGACGCATGGTCGGGCGCTGCAGAGTTCGGCTTCCCACCGCTTGGATTGTATGGGGAGCCGAAGTGGTTGGACGATGCCGTGCACGAGGATGAGGAGATGTGTGACCCTGTTTAAAGTGTCTTCCCATCCCCACTTGTCCATCCCCTACATACTCCCGTCTATTTTCCGCGAGTGGTTTGTAACCGCAGTCCGAACACAGCATAGTCTATACTCCTCTCTATTTCTCCATTTGTTGCGCTTCGCAGGTTGGATGCTCAGAGCGGAATTATAGCGGGCGCAATTGAATCGATTGAGCTACTCGTGTATGATGGACTACGATCAGGCCAGCCTGCTGATCTTACATTGAGAGTATATACAAGATGGACGCCCGAGATACGATATGCGTCTAGGGTCCCCAAACGTATTTTCATACTTCCGTCCTGCGCCCCATGCTGACCCCACGACGCAGCGGTCATATGCTTATAGGCAATGGTTGATCATGTGCCCCGCGCGTATTAAGCTCCACCTCTTCTCCGAATCCGTCGACGTCGCGTTCGGCGCCCGACTTGAGGTCTTCGCTTAGGTCGCCGATGAAGAACTCCGCGGTGAGATCCTCCATGGTCGGCATCTGCGTGCGCGTCCGCATGTACGAGGCTGCATGGCTCTCGCTCAGGTTGAGCATGAGGCGGCAAATCATCATAGATGTCAAGCTGGAAGGATTTAGACGAGACGGTCGTGGGGTCAGAGACAGAGTGGGAGGCTTACGCCGCGCTCAAGGGTGCGTTGATGGCATTTATACCGACCTGGGGTGAAGATGAGAGGAGAAGTAGGCCAGGTGGTAGATGGCAGATCGTACCGGCGCAGTCTGCAGATGAAGATGGAGGGTCCAATAGTCCAGTCAGCTCTTTGTCTCTATGACTCTTGTTCTGAGAACGGAAGCCACGTACAACGTATACCACGACGTTGACGAGATTGATCAGGAATACGACGCTTTGAAACAGCGTTTAATGTCATCATACAAGGCGGTCGATGGACTGGAACAGGCTTACAGAAAATACAGCACGCCTGCATGAGGTCAGCATCCTTATCAGCTTCGGGACGAGAAGGATAGAAGCTCGCATGTCGAGTATGGCTCACCATCACGTAGTATGACCTGAACGAGTGTGCCGACACGAGCGCCACGGAACTTGAGCGCGCGGGCGACCGTCAGGGCGACTATTACTGTTGGAAACACGAGTTGACCGATCCAGAACGCGGTGAACCCTAGTACAGATACAAAAATAGCGTGATTTGGTGGCCGCGTGCTGAGCACATGAATCAAAAAATAGAACTCACGTATGCCTCTGTGCCACAGAAGAAACTCGGGTCTACGGCAGGTCGGACGAGACGCAGGATGACGTGAGACTCACTCATTTGGGGTGCCACTCAGGATGCACGCTCCAAAGGCTGGTGCAGACGGATGTCATGACACTGAACCAGAAGCTGAAAAGAAAGACGAACATTTGGAAGTTTGGATCGCACCACCGCCCACTAAAGCCCACTGTGCAGACAGGCCGGCTCGATGAAAAGGTCCCACTGCAGGCGAGAGCAAACAAGAGACCTACAGCCTCGACCGCGATTTCGCCGGCTAGAACTGCGAGAAGCAGGATTGCCATTGTCTACCAACCATCGACAGTCACGATCGGAACTCATCTGCCTGGAGACAGGTGGACTCACCATACTGCGGTTGTATAGGGCATAGGTCCTCAGGATCAGGATCAGGCCCGTGGACGTGTTCGAGATCATTTGCGTTACGCCAGGGAATTTTACAAAAGTGTTGCATCTAAACCAAACGATGAGCGACGGGTTTGAAGTGTTGAAAAGGGGGTGATATATACGCCTACAATAGAGTCAGCAACGTATCTAATTTCCGATGCTGGTTCGTTCACCTTGTCACTCAATACACGGAAATGAACTTGGAAGGGCGGCGTGCCAAAGAAAGTTCCAAAGTAAATAGACGCGTTGAATCGTTGAGAAATCAGCCAACGTACAGATAAAGGATGGCGCCTGCGTAAATAGCACGATATACCGATTCTGATCCCCAGAGTGGTCAGTGATCTCGACGAAATCCACATCACACTGAAAGAGAGAGACACAGATACTCACAAAGAACCATAACCCGCTCACGAACGTGAATCTGCGTCGCCATATCAGGTTTACCTCGGCCTCGAATGTGATGATGTACTCGTAGAAGATGAGTGCTAGAGACAGCGTCAGACCGCTGATGAATGTGCCAATCTAGGACGCACCGAAGGTAGCAGCAGAATACTGTTTGATCATCACTCTGATCCGGTCAGCGTTAGGAAATATGGATTAGGAGACAACTCACTGTCGCGCAAGCTCATCCACAACGTGAAGAGCACTTACGTGGTCCATCTCATCGCCAGTACTCATGCATGGGACCAAGGGCTGAAGAAGGGGTATATATCAATGTCACGAAATATGTGCCCTGGCGCCAGTGAGTGAATGGAGAAATTCGGGATTCTGGTTGGAGAGCGGGTTGCCGTGTAGTCAGGTGTAGTCAAGGATTACCGAAGCTTGGGTTTAATACCCCCGATTGTCGGAAAGCTCTTCACTTGTTCAGAATGTTCTTACCACCTCGATCATTGGATCAGTTGAGCCACTCCCACCCTCGGCTGAAGTCTAACCACATGAACACCACGATAGTGAATGCATATGGATGTCAGGGGTAGACCGTGGACGATTTCTGGCAGAATGAATGTGACAGCTTTAATTCTCTCGATGATTGGAAATCAATATCTAGTCTAAAAATAGTATGTGGTCCGTTTCCGTCCCAAAATAGCTGGATCTGGGGATAAAGTTCCTTGTCATGTCCAAATATACCAGATTTACCCCATACTTGATTCTGCTTCTAGCAATCTTTGAGAAAGAGTATTATACAGGCCAAAGGAAGTCTCCTAGTGGTAGTGATACAATATGTGAGCAAGTAAAAGGAACGAACTGAGAATTAACGCGCATGAACATAGATCCACAAATACATCCCGTGGCTCATTACGCGGCGCCATGATGTACAGATGAACGTAGCCCCCCACGAGGGCAAAAATGAACCAACTCCACCTCATCTCCGAGTGACTCGCCGTGTGCTTGACTGTGCGACGTGCTTGGGTGTCCGTACATGCCGTCGGCGTCTTTGAGGTCGGAGCCGGCATCAGGGCTCGACTTGACATGCTCGCCTAGGTTGCCAATGAAGAACTCTGCGGTAAGCTCTTCCGTCGTCAGCATCCAGGTCGTCGTCACATGCGTCCGCGTCCCCGTGCGGGAGGTCGAGGGGCTCTGGCTCAGATTGAGCATGAGACGGCACATCATCATGGATGATAATCTGGGAGGTCGTTTGAGGAGAGGTGAGGATGCGATGCGATGGAGTGCGCGACTAACGAGCTTACACAGCACTCATGGGCGCGTTGATAGCGTTGAGGCCAATCTAGTGAATGAACGTAAAGCGAGGATGGACGTGGATGAGGATGGATGGGCGAACAAAGTTGTTAGATCCGTACCGGTGCAGTCTAGAGAGGGCGAATTTGTGAGGTTTAATCAGTCCGAGTCTTCATTGTGTTTGTAAATTCGTATGTTTGAGCCACGTACGACATATATTATGACATTGACAAGATTAATAAGAAACACCACGCTTCAGAACGCATTGATGAGCCAAAGAGCCATGCCATATGAAGGATGCTACTATGGACTCACGCAAAGTAAAGCACGCCTGCAGAGTATTCATCAGCTTCAGCTCACGGAGACAAGGACATATCACGGAGAACGCGACCGACCATCGCGTAGCATGACCTGGACTGTATCTGCACGGACACCGCGGAACTTGAGTGCGCGAGCGACTGTCAAGATGGTGATGATTGACGGAAACACGAGTTGACCGATCCAGAACGCGGTGAATCCTGGTGCGCGACGCGGATGGTATGCGAAGGAGGTGGGGTTATCTTACGGCAGGCCTTCGGAATCAAAATGGGACTCACGAATGCCGCTGTGACGTGGAAGACAGCCGGAGGGTTCATAAAAGGTCAGAAAAGGGCGAAGAGATCGTGGAACCCACTCCTGTGGTTCGCCGCTGAGAATGCATGCGCCAAGAGCTACAGCGCGAATTATAATCCTGCATATCACGAGATCGTAGAAGCGAAGACGGACCTTCGGGGATTTCGATGGCGATGCCGTCCGCCACAGCCCACTATCAAGGCAAAGACCTGGGTCAATGAAAGATTCGATATGTATCGAGAGAATAAATAGCGAACGTACCAGCTCCACCGCTATCTCGCCAGCGAGCGCCATGAGCAGCAAGATCGCTATTGTCTGCAAGCGCGCGATGATCACGGGGTTGGGTAACATGTGAGGGCGGATAGTATCATAGGATGACTCACGGTGCTACGATTATATAGCGCATAGGTCCGCAGTATCAAAGTGAGACCTGTGGACGTGTTCGATATAATCTGCATGATTCCAGGAAACTTGACAAACATGCCGCATCTGAGATAGGCCATGAGTTTCTGTGTAGTCGTGAAGAAATACGTGCATACTGCTGCAAGGAGAAGTTAGATATAGAGGCGCGTTCGAGATATGGTATTTATATCTACCTCGTCGGTGAGTGCGTAGAAGTGAACTGCAGCAGGTAGTGTCCCGAAAGTCTTCCTCCGTGAACACGCGGACTCGGGATAGTCCAGTTGATTGACGTACAGAGAACGGCCGGACCCTGCGTGAACAGCATGATGTACCGATTCTGATCCTCTAGACAGTCAGTCACTTTGCTCAAGCTTGAGCAAGAGCTCTATCCACTCACAAAGAACCATAGCACGGTGACGAACGTGAACTTGCGTTTCCAGATCAGATCCACCTCGGCATCGAACGTGATGAGGTATTCGTATACGATTAGAACTGCCAGAACGTCAGAAAAAAGGGGTGCCTAACCAACGTCGATGCGCATCAGTTGCACATCCAGCACGCACCGAAAGTCCCAATTGCATATTGTTTTATCGTCACCCTATGATTGTAGACACCAAGTGAGCACACGTTGTAACACAACGGTCAAGAGGCAACTCACAGACGTACATACTCGTTCACCATATCAACGGTACTTGCATCGTTCATTTTATCACCAACGTTCGTACATAGAGGCGGGAAGGGAAGGGACAGAGGCTGGTGGAGGACACTCGCTGATATGCCACCTGATATGATGTTCAGAAATACAAAATGGTTGTGCCATCTGATTGGACCGCGGGTGTAGTCAAGTTCGCCTTAGCCCATCGAGCCAGATCGAGCGCCAAGGTCACTCTGATCGGAGGGCGTCTGTTTGATGCCGAAGCTATGATATCTACTAGCGATTAGTCCTCTGGAAAGAAGTGAAGAACCCATGGTTTCGGAAAGGCCCCGCCCAGGTCCGCAGCATCATACAGCAGCACGGGAGGCTCAAGCTCAGGCATATGTACAAGTATGCAAAAGCACTCGAACCCGGTACATCCACCGGATGATCGAGCATTGCTTGAGTCACACCCATGAGATCTGATCACTTGAGTGATACAGCCGACTATTGCATTGAAACAGATATGCAGCGGAAAGTACCATGCAGCTTACTTGTATGCAGTTCCATTGGAAGCAGGTTCCGTCAGTGTTCCGCCGGACGTCCTATTTGGCATCTGGTCAGATCTAAACGTTTGATGCTAGTCGTTCCGAGAAAAAGGAGACCAAGGATCGCGAGTGGGTCGCGTTGTCAGAACACAGGCTGACACGCTCTGACACGGGTCTAGTGGCCAGAAAGGTACGATTTTCGAGGATTTCTGCGCCATCGTGCACACTCGCCAGGCACCACCGCCGCTTCGACCCCACCGTAGTGGAGTCCCACCGTCACCATCAGCCCGCTGCTCCACGATGAGGAGTCATCGACTTCATCGTTCCGGTGCCTGGTGACCCAGACCAGCTCAACTTCAATCAAGGCCACTGCAGATGCTCGCAGACGTCAGATACGGATATTCGAAGACCACGTCGAAGGTTGAAGGAGGAGTTACATCGCTAACGGTGCTGCCTTTCGGAGACTACCGCAGACCACCCAAATCGGTCTTCTCAGTCGAGACCAAGTAGACCAGTCGCCATCGGGCACGACCGAGCGACTACCACGACCGTGGCGAACGCTGCCAGGTCCAACCTCCTCAATCCTCGGCTGGGGATCTAAGGACTGGTTGTGATACGATGCGATGCAGGCGCTGCTGTGACGGTAGCCAGGCTCCGGACCATATCGCAAGGCTCAAGTTGTCGCAAGACACAACTCCGGAACGCGGATCCAGCATACATCTGGCCCGAATCGCAAGACGTCGAGCATCGAGACACCGTCGTACGTGTCAGGCGAAACATGGCGGTGTCGCAGACGACGGCCTAGTGCAAGGTCATAGGCAGCAGCGCCCTGCGACTACAAACAAGACGCACCGTCTCCAGATCTCGCTGCCCACGAACAGTCTCTGAGGTTGATCTTACGCAGAAGACAGTCGTTCTGTCTGCGTATAACGCTGCCCACAGCAGCCACCAGCTCAACCTCAGTCGATTTCCCAGCGGCCGTCGACGTCTCACAGGTCCGACTCCCTTCTCTTCTCGGCGCCAGCATCTCCGCCTCCACGCCTGAGGCTTCATTCAATGCAGACCCTCTCCCTGACGCGCGCACGACCGACCGCCTGACCGCCGTGCATTCTCGCCACCAGGGTCCAGCAGCCCACCAGGGTCCAGCAGCCCACCAGGGTCCAGCAGCCCACCAGTCCCCCGCGGGCCAATCCGTCCACACGCCTAGTACTCGCACGCCTACTGGCACGCACGCGCTCCGCCTCGAGGACGAACAACAAAAAAACACTGGCACGCACGCGCTCCGCCTCGAGGACGAACAACAAAAAAACACTCGTACGACCACCACGCCGTGGCCGTAGTAGGCGTAGACGAGGACGGGCACGGGGATGGAGACGGGGGCGGGGGCGGGGACAAAGAAATGATGTATATATGTATATATGCGCGAGCACGACCAACATCAAAATACGGAAATACGAAAATACGAAAGTATGAAGGTATGAAAGTATGGAGGTGTGGAAATAACAATGTAAGGATGTAACGACGTGACAATAAAGAAGCCAAAGCCAAAGCCAAAGTTTGTTTATGGTTTTTGTAATGTGTTGTGCTGTGTCGTGTCAGGAGGAGGAAAGGGGCAGAGCGGCGCGCGAAAGAGGGGATGGAAGAAAAAAAATAACACTCCAAAAAAACTATATAAGCCTAACCGACCGACCGATACATCGACCGACCGCCCGCCCGATCCCACCACCCATCGAGAGACATGTCAGCCGCGATTCGGAGGACTAAAACGAGCGTGTGGTACGTGCGCGCGCATGCGTGTGCGAATATCAGGATAGGGAAGTAACGCAACGCGTTGGCAAAGGTGAAAAAAAAGGAACAGAAAAACCGAGAATAAGAGAGGGAATTATATAGAACGAAGAGGGGGCCGGAAGAGCCGGGCAGACGGACAGACGAGGGATGATCAGACAGAAGAACGGGATTCGAGACACGAGATTTGGGTAATGGTGGCGACAGCCAGGCAGCCAGGCAGGCAGCAGGTAGGTAGGAATAGCAGTGGTAAAAAGCCATATAACAGAGCCATCTGGATGGTATTACGGAGAGAAGGGTATAGCGTAGAAAGTAAATGAGAAAAAGAAAAAGAACAGAAAAATGTTGACGACACAACACGCGGACGCGAGGACGAGATCAAAGAACGGAGAGAAAGAGCCAGTCTGCGGGAGGCCTGGAGGAAATGACGCGACATGCTGGATATGGATCTACGCGGATAGAATGGCAAAACAAGACGCGGCCAACGGCAAGGAGAAGGAGAAGAGATATTGTCCATGGACGGCTTCCGAGTAGAACGTGTGGGCAGGTGGGTCTTTGATCGCGAGCGGGCGGAGCCAGAAGTTATTCACCGCTGAAGATCGACGCGCCTGCACAAAAAAATAGAGGTCCCGTCAGCGCACGCCCAACCCACACCAATCCCAGTCCGTTGGGAGAGAAAAAAGGACCACGCACCCTCTCAGCGTATCGTACAAAAACTTGTAGCTCCTCAAATTCCCCTTTAACCGGCGAATATCCAAGCTGAACGTGTCGTTCAACCGATCCAACCGCGTCAGCTCCACGTAGAACCGCACCTCGTCCCCCTGGTCCTGCGTCGGGTCCCCGTACATCGGCTCGCCCGGCGCCCCTCCTACAGCCACCGACCCCACTCCCACACCCGCACCCGCACCTGACGCCGTCTGCCCTGCGCCCCCGCCGACGCTCTCCGCGCTCTCCGCGCCGGGAAGGCCCCCGCCGAGCGTCGCCACCTGCGAAGACTGCCGGCGCGAGAGCAGCCCCTTGAGCATGCTCCCGCTCGAGCTCGGCTGCGGCAGCCCCCGCCTGTCGACCTGCACCCCCCAAAGATCACGCAAGATCAGCGTTGTTCCCTAAACCCACACACACATGCGAAGACGTACCCCGTTCGACGCCGCCGAGCCCACCATCTTGTACGCCGCAAGCCCCGCCGCGCTCCCTCCCGCGCCCGCGCCCGCAGCCCCGTCCCTTAGCCCGAGTCCAAGCCCCACCCCCACGCCGCCCGCGCCCTTCCCCCGCTTCGCGCGCACGCACCGATACTTGTACTCGCTCTCCACCTGCACTTCCATCCCCATCCCCTCCAGCGCCGCGCGCACCTTCTTCATCACCTCGGGCGGCGCCCCCGTCGTGATTGTCGTCTGGTCCACCGCACCGTGGTGCACCCGCAGCGCCGCCGCCGCCCCGCCGCCGAGCGCAGGCACCACCGCCTGCGCGCTCGAGCTCCCGCTCCCGCCGCGCGCCGGCGTGCCCAGCTGCATCTGCCGCTTCATGCGTTCCGCGAAGCTCGGCGTCGTCGCCAACGATGCATCCGTCGCTGCCGACGCAGAGCGCTGCGCATGCCCGGGCGTCGCCGCGCGCAGCAGCAGCTCCGCGCGCGACGCCCCCGGCGTGGCAGCGTTGACCGACGGCGTCGACGGCGTCGCGCGGTACGCGTCCAGCGCGGGCGTCTGCCCACGCGCGACGGTCTCGATCTCCGCCCCCGCGGTCGTCGCGGCGGCGGACGCCTCGGGCTCGTCCGCGCCCGCGCCCTTGCTGCGCGTGCGGAACCACTGCATGACCTTGCGCGCCTTGCTCGACGACGCCTGCATCCCCAACCCAACGCTCTCGCTCCGGCCCACCTTCCCACTCCCAAACCCGCCGCCCGCCGCCGCCGCCTGTTGCTGCTGTTGTGCCTGTACCTGAGTCTCCCCCTCCGCCGCGCCCTCGCGCTCCTTCCTTTCCTTCTCCCGCTCCTTCTCCTTCCCCGGCGTGTCCGTCACGTTCCGGTTCTTGCTCCGCTGCTTGATCTGGCGACTGAACGGCTCCACCATCACCGTCAACGTGTTCCGCCTGCTCTTCTTCCCCGTCACGCTCTCCGGCGACGCCGGGCTCAGCAGCTGCGGCGACGATGGCGACTGCACCTGCGACGGTGTGGTCCCGTGCGTCGCCGTCGACGACGGCGCCACCTGCAACGTCGACGGCCGCCGGCTGGCAGATGACGAGGCCTTGGAGGACGACTGGATCGACGCGGGCCCGTTCGTCGACGAGCTCTCCGACACCTGCCGCGACCCCATCCCGCCCGCTTGCTGCTCCGCGGCAGCCGCGGAGGCGCCGGACCCGAATATCTTCCCGAGTCCCATCTTGTCGATGGACAGCCCCCGGCGATGGCGCCCCGGCCGCCCGGACGCTGCGGAGCCTGTCGTCGACGCGGACCCGTTCTGGGTCTGGGTCTGAGGCGTGAACGGCACCGGCTCGCCGCTCGGGTAGTGTTGGTGCTGTTGCAGGTGGTGGTTCGGCGTCACGGGCGGGCTCGCGGCGTTGACGGTCACAACGGGTGTCGGCAGCTGCTGCGCCGACGGCGGCGAGAGCGGGGCTGTTGGCACGGGCGGCGACGGCACCATGACGAGGCTCGGCGAGCGGCTGCGGGCCCTGCGTTGCGGTTGGACGGGCTGCTGTGGCTGTGGCTGTGGCTGGACGGGCTGCGCACGCGGCGGCGACTGGCCCTCCTGGCCCTCCGGCTCCCCGTACTCGACCTGGATGGTATGCCGCATCCCGCCCTTTTTCCGCCTGCTGCCGCCCTCGGGCGGCGCGCCCGAAACCGGAGGCACAGACTCCTTCTGTCCCCTCGACGGCGCCGCGGCGCCGTAGAACCCTCCATCGACGTCCATCGCGTGCGCGCGCGGCGGGGACGCCGAGAGGACGCCGAGCGGCGCGTCGCGCGTGGGCGTCGGTGCGAACGGATCATCGTCGAGCGGGACGTGCGCCGCGGATGGCATGACGATGGCCGAGGCGACGGCGCGGCGCGCGGAGGCAATGGACGTGTCGACGGCAGTGGTGGACGTCTCGTAGAGGTACTCGGGGCGCGGGGGCTCGCGCTGGGAGCGGCTGCGGGCGGACGCGGGTGCGCCGGCGGCGACCGAGGCGTGGGGGAAAATGTCGGCGCGGGTGCTCTGGCTGCGGGCGACGGGGTCCGCGGCGCTGCCGCCACCGCTGCTATGCTGGCGCATCTGGCGCTGGTAGGCGAGGCGTTTCTGGCGGTGCTGTTCCATGGCGGCGTCTTCGAGCTCGCGGACGGACTTGTCAAACACGTGGCGGTAGGGAGCGAGCCAGCGATGGTCCTTGATCCTCTGGAGGCCGGCGCGGTGGACGGGGTCGGGCTGGAGCATGAGGGAGAGGAGCTCGCGAGCATCGGGGGAGATGTACTCGGGGAAGGAGAGGGAGGTGTTGACGATGTACTTGTAGAGGAGGTTGATATTGTCGCCGTCCGGGTTGGCGGGGTCGTCGTCAAAGGGGAGGTAGCCGGCGAGCATGGCGTAGAGGATGACGCCGCAGGACCAGATGTCGACGGCGGAGCCGACGTAAGCGCCCTCTGAGATAACGAGCTCGGGCGCGGCGTAGCAGGGAGAACCGCACGAGGTCTGCATGAGATCGTCCGAGTGGTGCTGGAAGTCGTTGGCGAAGCCAAAGTCTGTGATGATGACGTTGCGATTGCGGTCGAGGAGGAGGTTTTCGAGCTTGAGGTCGCGGTGGACGATCTTCTGGGAGTGGATGTAGCCGACGCCGGAGACGAGCTGGGCGAAGAGCTTGCAGGCGTCCTTTTCCTTGAGGTAGCGGTGGGCGAGGATGTGGTCGAAGAGCTCGCCGCCCGAGGCGTAGTCGAGGATGATGCCGATGTACTTGTCTGTCTCGATGACGTCGTAGAGGCGGACGATGTTAGGGTGCTTGAGCCTCTGTGTAAGGGCGGGGGAGGGGGTAGGGAGGGTCAGCTCTGCCGCCGCGGGAGGGAGGACGGGCGGGCGGGGGGACGGACCTTGAGGACGTTGATCTCGCGCTCGACCTTGCTGGCGCGGATTGCGACCTCCATGTTTTGCTTCTTTATGAGTTTTACGGCGACCTCCTCGCCCCAGTTGCTGTGGAGGCCGAGCTTGACCTTTCCAAACTCGCCCTCGCCGAGGGTCTGAAGGAGGAGGTAGGGCCCGAACTTGGGGATGGTGCGTTTGGGGTGGGAGGAGGCGTACTGGACAGCGGCGGGGTGGGAGTAGACGTCGCGGTAGAGGGGCTGTTCGTCGGGGGTGGATGCGGCGGCGACGTTGTGGGACGCGCGCTTCCTGGAGGAGGCAGGGTGCTGGTGGGCGGGAGCGGCGGTTGACGGGTGGACAGCGACGGAGAGGGGGCGCGAGGGGTGCTGGCGCGAGGGCCCGGGAGCGGCGGGGTCGGGGAGGAGGAGGGCGTCCGAGAGCATCGTCGACGTCGGGGGCGAGGGTTCGGGCGACGCAGAGGGCGACGACGACGAAGGGGAAGAGGAAGGGCCACGAGCTGGAGGACTGATTGCTAAGCACACAGACGCGCACACAGACGCACACACAGAGACTCGGGCAAAGGGCTGCCGCCGCCGCCGCCGCCTTCAATCTCCGCCGCCTGTATTTGGTTCTCATCTCGAATATCTGCAGTATTGTGCACTACACGCTCAGCTCCGCACGCGTCTCCGCCGCCTGTATTTGGTTCTCATCTCGAATATCTGCAGTCCGCGCGCGTCCCCCGAGCCAGCACCCGCCGCCGCCTTCAATCTCCGCCGCAATCTCCGCCGCCTGTATTTAGTTCTCACCTCGAATACTAGTATCTGCAGTATTGTGCACTACACGCTCAGCTCCGCACGCGTCCCCTGGGCCAGCACCCCCGCCAGCTCCGCGTCCGCCAGCGCCGGCTCCACCCACTCTGCCAGGAACCGGTCCACCTGCTCCGGTGCGCGCCCCACGAACGTCTCCGGGTCCAGCAGCCCCTCCAGCTCCCCCGCGATCGGCGCAAAGTACGCGTCCCGCCGCACGCGCTCAATCAGGTCGTTGTCCAGCCCCTCCTGCTTCACCCGCCGCGCAGCCTCGTGCGACAGCACCTGCAGCACGCCCGTCAGTCAGCACACACGCGGCACTCAACACACAGCGACGCCACCCACCCTGATGCGCTCGTGCGCCTCCTGCCGGTCCCCGCCCCGCTTGACCATCGCCATGATCACGTTCTCCGTCGCCATGAACGGCAGCTCCTCCCCGATCCGCCGCCCAATCACGCCGGGGTACACCACCAGCCCCTCCGTCACGTTCTGCAGCGTCGTCAGCACGATGTCCGCCGTCAGGAACGCCTCCGGCAGCGAGATCCGCCGGTTCGCGCTGTCGTCCAGCGTCCGCTCGAACCACTGCACGCTCGCAGTCATCAGCGCGTCCTGCTGCAGCACCATCAGGTGCCGCGCAAGGCTGCAGATCCGCTCAGACCGCATCGGGTTCCGCTTGTACGCCATCGCCGACGACCCGATCTGCGTCGACTCGAACGGCTCCTCGATTTCCTGTCCCATCGCCGCACCGTCAGTGTGGTGTTCGCGGCCGCCACGGCGCCACCCACCTTGAGATTCGCAAGCAGCCGCAGGTCCGTCGCCATCTTGTGCGCCGTCGCCCCGAACGACGCCAGCGCCCCGAGCACGTCCACGTCGATCTTCCGCGAGTACGTCTGCGACGTCACCGGGTACGCGTACGCGAACCCCGACATCTCCGTCACCAGCCTATCCAGCTCCTCCACCTGCCCGCGCCCCGCGCCGTCAGCCAGCGCCCGCACACCGATCGTCGCACACGCGCGCGCACCTTATCGTGGTCCCCATCAAACAGCGCGAGGAAGCTTGCCTGCGTCCCCGTCGTGCCCTTCACACCGCGGAACCCGAGGTCGTCGCGCGCGCGCCGCACGTTGCGCAGGTCCCACAACAGCTCCTGCAGCCACAGCGTCGCGCGCTTGCCCACCGTCGTCAGCTGCGCCGGCTGGAAGTGCGTGAAGCCGAGCGTCGGCAGCGCACGGTATTCCCGCGCGAACGCCGCCACGCGCTCGATCACGACCGCCAGCTTCGCGTGCACCATCGTCAGCGCCGCGCGCAGGAAGATCAGGTCCGCGTTGCTGCGGCCGCCGCAGCCGCCACCGAAGCGATGTCAGCACGGGAGAGAGACAGGGGCGGGGGAGGGACGCACTCGGTGACGTAGCACGAGGTCGCGCCGAGGCTGGTAAAGCGCGCGGCGGGTGAGTGGGCGGAGATTGGGCGCTCGTGCGGAGGCGGGGGGAGGGCGGCACACGTACTGGATGATCCCGGCCGCGGACGGCGCGACCTGCCCAAAGGTGTGCACGTGCGCCATCACGTCGTGTCGACGCTTCTTCTCCTCCGCCGCGGCGATCGCGAACTGCGCCGCGTCGAGGTGCTGCAAACACAGAGCGCGCCGTGAGCCTCTCCTCCAACGCAGGCGCATACACACACGCGGAGGGAGGGAGGGCAACGCACGAGGTTCGCCTCCATCTCTGTGATGGCGGCGTCCGGGATCGGGAGCCCGAGCTGCTTTTCGGCGCGCGCGAGGCTCAGCCAGAGTTTTCTCCATGTGTGGAAGCGGTTCTGTGCCGGGCGGGTCGGGCGGTCAGCGGCGCTCACATGTGAAAGAGGCGGGCACGCAGGCGGCGTCGGATACGCACCTCCGCAGAGAATAAGTGCGCCATCTCTTTGCTCGCGTAGCGGCTATATGCAGCGAGCAGTCAGACATCAGAGAGGGGCTCCGCAGACGGAAAAAGAGGGGGAGCACACACCTGGAGAGGGGCGTCTGGTACGTATCGAACGACTCCATCTGTGCAGACTCGTCGATGTCTTTTCGACTAAAGAAATCAAGTCAGATGCTGTTGGGTTCTATCTAGCAGAGGAGAGAGGACGGAGGAGGGGATCTGCTCGATGGGCCATCCCATCGCGCGAGAATTTCGCGATGGCTGGATCAGGGGCGACGGAGCCGCTGCGTCGGCGCATATCGGCGATCGCCGGTAGCGTTCTTTCTGGTCGTGGCCAGTCGCGTACAGTCGAAGCCACTACTTGTACTTGTACTCGGAGCACGCGTGAATAAATCGAAACACCGTTATGCAGCTGTCCTCGCCACTCGATCTCTCACCGCGTGCGCTACCCGCCTCCGACCGAAACACGCCTCCGCGCGTGCCTCTGATTATTCCTGCTCGCACCCGAACACGACGACCAACCGGCTCGGGCGCGCTCCCGAACGCGCAACGCGCCCTCTTACTCTCCTCGCATCCTGGCGTCCTGGCGCTGTCGTCCGTGCACGCTCTGCAGCCGAAAAAAGGCCCCAGCGACGCAGTTTAAAACGGGCGCGGCGGCGGGTCATGGGAGCAGCACAGCGTCGCGATCGAGATGCCCTCGCTCTCGCTCTCGCTTCTGCTTTCCCTGCGTCTACTACTGACCTCTCTCCTCCTCCTCTTGCCACACTCACGCGCAGCGCCAGCCACCCCAGCAGGTACATCCCCCCCCCTTCTCCTCACCTAATCCACCTTCACCACTCCCTCCAGCCCTCCGCACGACCCCCGCGCTCTTCGCCTCCCAGACCTTCGACTACCTCCTCGTCGGCGGCGGCACCGCCGGGCTCGTCCTCGCCGCGCGCCTATCCGAGGACCCCGCCGTCCGCGTCGGCGTCCTCGAGGCCGGCGCGTACGTCGCCCCCGGCTCCGACCCGCGCGTCGACCGCATCGCGCTGTACGGCGCCGTGTTCGGTGATCCCGAGTTCGACTGGGGCTTGCGCACGGTCCCGCAGGCCGGACTCGGCGGGCGCGTCGTCAACGAGACCAGGTGCGCGCGCCTGCCCACATGTTGCACTCACGAGTACCAGTACCGGGCCCACGTGCACACCCGCTGACCGCCACTCCGTCACAGCGCGCGCGTGCTCGGCGGCTCCAGCATGATCTGCGACGTCCTCTGGCAGCGCGCCTCGCGCGAGGAGTACGACGCGTGGGGCACCGCGCTCGGCAACGGCCCACACTGGTCCTTCGCCGCGCTCGAGCCCTACTTCCGTAAGGCCGAGCGCTGGCACGGCCCCCCGCCGCTCGCGTTCCCCGGCGTGCGCAACGCGAGCGCCGCCCTCGCCACCGCGCACGGCGAGAGCGGGCCGCTCCAGGTGCGTGGCCCCGCGCGGCGGATTTTTGCGAATCGTTGGGGCACGGCGGGGCGCTGACGCCGCGCGCACGCACAGCTCAGCTATAATAACTGGATCCCGGAGCCCGTGCTCGTGTCGGTCGCGGCCGCCAACGCGCTCGGCATCCGCTCGAATGCCAACCCCGTATGTCCCGCCCTCGCGCACGCGCACTTCCCCTCCCCTCCCTTTCCACGCGTGATCAAACGAACTGACCACGCGCGGAACTAGAACGGGGGCAACGCGACGGGGTTTGCGACGCCTCTGCGCGCGGTGGACCCGCAGACGGGGCTGCGCTCGTCCGCCGTGTCCGCGTACTTCGCGCCGAGCGCACAGCGCGAGAACCTCGTCGTTCTCACGGGAGCGCATGCGGTGCGGGTCGTGTTCGACGACGGCAGCCGCGGCCGCAATAGCACCGCGGGGCTCGTCGCGCGGGGCGTGGAATTTATCGCCGGGAGTCGCAACTACACGGTCCTGGCGCGACGCGAGGTGATCCTCTCCGCAGGTGACGGCAATCTCTTGCGCGCGCGGAGTGCGCTGTTCTGCGGTGCTGACGGAGAGGCTTACTTATAGGGACGTTCAAGACGCCGCAGATCCTTGAGCTGTCGGGGATCGGGAACCGCACCGTGCTGGAGAGCATCGGCGTCGAGACGCTCGTCGACCTCCCCGGCGTCGGCGAGAACCTGCAGGTACGTGTGCCCCTACTTCCGCGCCGTTTCCGGTCTCGCGTCCGTCATTCAACGCGCCGTTCCAGGACCAAACATATACCCTGTCGGATTTCGTGGTCAAGCGCGACGTGCTCACGCTAGGCAAGTGGCCGTCCACGTATAACCCCCGCGCGCCGCGCCATGCTAACTGGGCGCCGTATTTCCCGCAGACCAACTCCGGTTCAACGCATCGTTCGTCGAGGAACAGCAGGCGCAGTTGTACGTCCGCCTCCCCTGACCTTGCCTCCCAGATGCCCTCTCACGTGACCTCATCTGCGCCGCCAGCTCCACGCAGCGCACGGGCGTCTTCACGTACGACACCGGCGCGACGGGCAGCACCCCGCTCCAGCCAATCCTGCCCCCCTCCGTTGTCGCACGTCTCGCCGCCCTCGTCCCGCCCGCCAACACCACCGCCGCCGCTGCAAGTGAAGGCCTCGCGCCGCTGCAGCGCGCGCAGTACGCGCTCATGCGCGGGATGCTCGCCGAGGGCAGGGTCGGCTGGCTCGAGTTCCTCCTGCTCGCGAGCGGCGGCGCGGCCTCGCCCGCGGACGCAAACACGTCCTACGTCACGCCCATCGTCTTCCATCTCGTGCGTCCCCCCACGCTTCTGTCCCGCACGCGACCCGCTGACCGCACCCGTCCCCGCAGTACCCCTTCTCCCGCGGCTCCGTCGTAAGTCCACGCCGCTCGCCCGCCGATCTCGCCATCTGATCGTGACCTCCTGCCGGCCAGCACGCCAACTCCTCCGATCCGCTCGCCCCCGCCGTCATCGACCCCCGCTACCTCACGCACGAATTTGGCAAGCCCCCTCCCTTCATGCTCCCCCCGCGACGCGCGCTGATCCATTTGCGGTGCACGCCGCAGACGTCGCGATCCACGCCGTCGCGACCGCGTGGACGCGCGAATGGATGCAGACGCCGCCCATGGCCGCGCTCATCGAGCGCGCGCACGTGCCCGACGAGGCATCCGTCAAGACGCTCGACGACTGGGCCGCCTACGTCCGCGGCAACGCGATCGTGAGCACCTTCCCTGCCGCGCGATCGACCGCCCAGTGCTGACACCGCCCCTTCGTTCCCTAGACGACACTGCACCCGATAGGTGCGTCCTCCTTCCATTCCATTCTATTCGAGCGCCCGGCGAACCGTCGCTTCGCATGCACACGCACACAGGCACCGCAGCGCTGGCACCCGAAAATCTAGGAGGTCCGTCTGTCCCGTTCCATTCGATCCCGCGCCGTCGTAAAGCCCTTACCTGTGCTCTGCCCGCCCAGGCGTCGTCGCCCCCGACTTCAAGGTACACCGTACCTCGAACCTCCGTGTCGTCGACGCCAGCATCATCCCCCTCACGTTCGGCGTCGCGCCGCTCGCGACCGTGTACGCCATCGCAGAAAAGGCGCGTCTTTCCTGAGTCCCGTGCGCAGCCCGGACGGGTGCTCACATCCCCTGCGTTTCTTTCTTTCTCGCACGCAGGCGGCGGACGCGATCAAGGCGGACGCCATGTGAACCGAAATACTGCGTGTCATTGTGTATAATAGACGCCCGGTCGAGCTGTCCCTACAACATGAATACAGCTGTTGGTCCGCACACGCGCACGTGTTCGAGACGGCATATCGGAAAGCAAAAAGACGAGACAAAAAGAAAAAAAAAGAGGAGAAATTATTTCATCAAGGAAAGAAAAGCGGGACCATAAATCAGCACAAAGCAATGGTATAGTATGTGAGGTATCGTCCTTGTTCGAAAGGATGGGTTCGGGCTCGCCGCCGTTTGCGTGTCTCACGAGGAAGCCGCCGGGATCTCGGGCAGAGGCGGGACTTCCGGGACCTGCGACGCGTGCTTCGGTCGCTGCAGCTTCCGGGTCTGCTTCTCCCTCTCCCGTTGCTCCTGCTCCGTACGCATCGTCACCATGATCTGCAGTTGTTGCGCGATGAAGTCCGACGTGTTGGGCCTGCATGCACCGTCAGCGGTCGCGCTCGAGGACAACCGCGCGAAAAAAAAATCGAAAAAAAAATCACGCACCGCATCCGCAGTATGCGCATAATCGTCTCCCCGTTACTGACCTCCTTCTCTTGCTTCTTCTCCCGCTTGCGATCCTTGATGGTCCCCAGGTTTCGTTGCGAGTACACGCTCTTGGCGCGCCTCTTCATGGACGGCTGCGCCCGCAGGGTTTGCTGCATCATGCGCACGCATTCCTCCATGAGCGCGTCGCTGCCGGCCGGAGAGGGGTGAGCAACGTGACAAGTAGAGAGAGAGGACAACGTACGTGTGCCAGTCGTAGTACAGCCGTATTGAGACGACGTCGCGGTACTTCTGGTTCTGCAACGTCTCGAGCGGGATGGGGCCTTCTCCTTCCGCGTAAAAGTAGTCCCGCAGGAACTGCGCGACAGGCATCAGGTCATGAAGTTGCGCGATCGACACTGAATCGAGTGAACTAACCTTGAGCCACTTGAACGCGATGTCCACCTCCTTGTCGCTCAAGGGTTTCATATCGCTCGGGGCCTCCGACAGTGGCGGGATGAGCAGCCCCTCGATGATCGTCAAGATCTCTTTCCACAAGCGCGTCATGACCATCTCCTTCGTTGCATCGCTCAGGTAAGTGTTCAGGGTGGAGAGGTTGGCGTCGAAGTAGTCAAACAGCGGGAGAATAGCTTGCTCGATCTCGACGTCGGTCAACTCCTCGGGCTTGATGCGTGGCTTCTCGGACGACGGTAGAGGGATCTGCGGGTCTGCAGAGCCGCCGCCGATGGCTGATCGGTAGAGGGCGGTGACGTTGCCCAGCGCTTTGTTGTAGTCGAGCCCAGAGTTACCGGTTTTGACCAGTGTCTTGAGGACCGGCCTGGAGAGGTTTTGTCGGATGAGAGGGGACATCTGTACAGAACAGATGGGTGCTATCGGATGAGCGAGAGGGGGGGAAGGGACCCACCTTGTCGATGAAGATTCTGACCATGTCACCCTCCCCTCGTTTCAGAGATCGGAAGGCGCGTCCAAAGTAGAATTGTATATCGTCCTTCTCACCCTCCATGCTGATTCGAAGCAGGATCCGGCCTTGTGAGTCCAAATCCAACCATTGATCATGTACCATCAAGTCCCCGAATCTTCGAGGATCAAGGCAGATATATGCCCGTCCCACGGTATCATGTTTGCCGATCAGTGCTCGATCTCGAATACTGACCATCAGCCACAGCGCCTTGTCGACCGACACATCGAAAGTCTCATCCCCTAAGAGGACGGTCAGAGAAACTACAACGAAAGGTAAAGCACACTCTACGTACAACGTGGATTCAGAGTCTCGTAAATCGTGCGAGTCTTCGCTAGCCGGTTGCCAGCCTCGTCGCTTAGTGTGACAAAGGTATCCAATTCAGATGATGGGCTACTGTCCAAAGGCGTAAGGCCCTCCGCGATGGCAATCTTGACAGTGAAGAGAAACCGTTGTCGCTCGTTCTTGTCAGGTACAGGTGGGCCATGCTGCTCGATGGTGTCAACGATTTTGTCCGCCTCCATCTGGTTGTACATGTTATCAAGGAGCTTGCGCGCCGCTTCAATGTTGTTGAGCTTGACGCAGGATGCCGCCTGGAAGTTGAATGGCTCCACCTTCTTCTCGCCTTGAGCCAGCTGCTTGGCCTTCTCGAGCCATGCAGAAGACTTCTGGGGTTGAAGAAACTCCGCTGGTCGAGGGAACATCTCATTCATGAAGAGCTCTTCAATATGTCGACAGTATTGCTCGACCGCCTTGCTGATCGTCTAATAGATTTGATCAATGACTACCCTCGCAGACCCTGAAGATGTCCGTACTTTAGACAAGCTGGTGAAGAAGCGAGCTTCTTGATACTGATCTGACCATTCTAGATCTTGCAAAAAGTTGATGGGACTACGGAGAGAGTCGAAGAGATCGATGATGGATGAACTGTGGCCTTCGGTGTCCTCGGCTTCGAACTATTTTAAATGTTCAAATTAAAAGCGAAACATTAAATTCAAATGCTGTGACAAACCTTGTCGGCTGCGATGGCCTGCATAATTATGTCAGTCATAGTCAAAATATTACAACAAGAAAGAAAACACTATACCGCTTCAACCCACTGTGTTGTTTTGTTGTCTGTATTGAAGAGCCACTGACGGACATAGGGCTCGAAGAAAGCTCCGAGATCGAAATCCATGATGTGGCTATAACGATCAGATTAACTAATGACTATGAGTTGATATGTGCTCCACGTACTCGGGACAGAATGCTTCGTGCATCCCGAGCAAAGTCTTTGTACGACGATAGAGAGCGAATATATCTTGAATGGGAACATCTGGTGTGGGACCGTTCATTGATGATTCGAATAATCGCTTCTGGGATGCTTCGAGATCATGAATGAACATGGGAACTTGGACCTCTACGATCAGCGATACGAGATCCACTTGTCTGTAGAATACGTACATCAGTGAGGAGCAACGATAAATAAATTTCGCACTGACTCCAACAACGGTTCCCCGAATCTCTTATCCAGCTTCTTGGCCTCCTTCTCTATCTCGTCGCTCACCAGCAAGAGAGGAAGTGCCCTGTTGACACCTGGAGCAGCCTGAAGTTCGGTGATCTTCTCCTCATAGAAATGTCCTGCAACACTTCGTACTCGGTCCTTTATGTCTTGCAGTCGCGCATTGATGTCTACGTCAAACCGCTCAAGCAACCCGGTACTTTTCACCAGCTCCAGAATATCCAGGAAACGATCAATTTCGTCCCGTTTGAGCGCGGGCAGAGCATCCATAGCGTGGTAAAGAGACGCGAGGAATACGCTGTACAGACTTCCGTAAATTCCAACAAGATATTCCGACTGAGGCAATTTTATAAGCATATTAAAATCTGATCTCGAAGAAAAACGTACATCTTGAATAGGCCACATCTCAAAAGTGATCTCGTGCATGACTTTCGCGACTGACCCAAGTGCCTCAGGAATACAATCCAGTGGTACCTCGTTCCGCTCGTAAAGTTGCTTGATGAGGTCCAAGAAGCATGCAGCACGGTAGGGCTGCGAGATGCGCCAGCGCAAAGCACATTCATTGATTAATTCGATATGCCCGGGAGAGAGAATCCCTAGAGAAACCTGATCTTCGTCGTCAACGTTGGGATCGTGCATAGCCTTAAGATCTGTCTCAAGACAGTACTCCAATAGCCGCTTGTAGTACTTCTTCGGGTTCGGAGGAATATACGTGAAGTTGTGTCCCACCTGAACCTCGTCATCGCCATCCAGATCTTCGTGATTCACGTTAACGAAATCAAAGTCAGAGAAATTCTGTGACAGAGCGAGAACGGACCGCCGGCTGCTGATCGACCCAGTACGCGAGGCACTAGTGGGCGAGTATACCGAACCAGGACGAGCGCGTGAGGGTGCGTTGTCTGAGGGTTGCGATTTCGCTAGTTCGGGATTGAATTGTACGAGGAGTACCATCAGCTGAGAAAGATGTGATGTCTCGAGAGTCTTCCAGTGGTTCCATGCTGCTTCGCTATCAAAGTCTTCGCGACGACCTGGAAAAGGTGCACCTGCGGTGATGTTCTTCAGACAGGTCTATGGCACAATGTTAGACAAGGTCGTATATATGCGAAATCATGCGTCTCCTACCTTTAAATCCAGAAGCGCCGCCTGGATAACCATTGTGAGACAGAGGGTTCAAGAGGATTGATGACAACTAGCTTACTCGCTCTGTGCAGTACGCTTTCATCTTTTCAATTTCTCGCTGAAGTAGATCTGTTCGAATCTCGAACAACCGCGAAACGATCATCACCAGCGGCATGTCTAAGACATTCGCACTGGCACCAGGAACGGATTGTATCGAGTCGCGATCCCGAGATGTTGACGATGACTCATAGCCTGAATCACTTGGAACCTGTGCTGCGGGAGCCAATTTGGATGCATACATGTCCAAGCGGCTCGTTAGTTCGGGGGAGACATGGCTGACACTGCGCAGCGACTCCCGTAGCAGCTTGACGAACTGTGCAATGTGGTTATTCAATTCAATCTTCCAGCCATCACCAGCGAGCGCTGGATCCTTCTTCAAGACACCAGTGGCATGAGTGGCGAACATGAGGATCAGCTCCTCGATCTTACGATTCTCCTTCATCTGTCGCTTGAATGAATCGACTTTGAACTGACCGTAGAATACTGCCATCGTTCTGCGGATCAACTGGTCCGAATAACTTGACAGAAGGTTAGCGAGGCTCCTTATGTGGGCAGAACATGCCGAATGCAAAAGCGTACGCAGCATCCTTTCCCATCGCGATATCTTCTAACCTATGCTCCAGGACCTTCAAGAGCTTTTCTGGAAACTTTACGCTCTTCGGCCCATCTCGAAGCGTGTCTTTGAAGACGTCACCGATGGAGATGATAGAGTTGGATATAGCGCCAGACAGACGTGATGAATATTCGCGTGAGCTCTCCCCACCACTGGCGCTAGAGCTGGAGACATTGGCGGGCTTCGGCTGGATAACATGGCTGAGAAAACTATAGGTCCTCGTCAGTGACGGATAGTGTCTATGAGAGCATTATTCAATCTCACGCTACTCGAAGAACATAACTGCAGCAGCGGTCCGACAGTCAGCGCCAGGAAAGTGAGGAGAGAGCAGTTACGCACTTGAATAAATCCTCATCGGACACCCGATGTTTCGATATACGACGCTCATGTGAATAGGTCGAGTCGTAGCTGCGTCTTGACATATCAGCCTAAAATCTGTAGAGATCCCAGGCGCTGAGAAAGACCACGGGCTGCAAAGACACTTCAAGGCCACAGAGCAGTCAGCAAACAACCCTTTCCTGAAGTAAAGGCGATAGGGAGGGTGGAAGGGAAGCAGTGCAGAAGTGGACGGACAGAGGGTACACCGCGTCGGCGTACTAGCACCGACTTGGCTGCCTCAAATGACTGAAACTCCCAAAATGGGAATTAGTTCTCACCATGCCCGATCCTTCTGTTCTGACTTGAGTTCATCATCGTCAATAATATATATATATATGTCCTCGATCCTCTAAGTCATAATATAGCGAGGCTATAGCTCATCATGACCCTTCGTACTACCTCCCGATCCCGAGGGGCCTGAGCTACCAGAGTCCGCCGTTGACGAACCCGAACTACTCGAACTGCTAGCCGTCGCTTTCTTCATCCGAGGTGGCTTCTTCATCACCAACTTCTGCAACGCAAGCTCCAAAACTTTCGCCCGTTCCTTCATCTCCTTCGTCTCGACCACTGGGTCCTCATTCATCTTCACTGCCTTCTGCTTCTCCACCCACTCGTTCAGCCATGACTCATGTTCCTTGAGTGTTTTCTCTAGGCTCGCAAGCTCCTCGCGCGTGTACTTGCCTTGAACACCCGTCTTCTCCTCTTCTGTCAAGTTCATCTTGGCCTCCGTGAGGAACAGGCGGGTGCTCCAATTCCACATCTGACTGCTGTTCAGCGCTCGAGGGAACTCCTCAATTTCTGCGTAACGATGGACTACTGGCCGTTCGAGTGACCTGGGCAAACACGTAATTACGGTATCGTGAATTTGGCAGTAGGAAGGTGCTCACTCTAGCTCGTTTCGTTTTGCAATGAAGTCTACGGTTTCCGCAGACTCGGCCTTATCGTGGAACCACTGAGACACTTCCTCCAGCTTGCGACTCATCGCTTGCCTCTCTGATTCCTTGGAACACTTGATGAAGGGAGCTTGTCCGTCGTGACTGTCCAAAAGGTCGCGCAAGCGGTAGATATAGCTCTCGATAGCATTCCGCTGTTCCTCTCTCTGTACCACCACAGCCTCTTGAGCTTCTATAGCCAATAATCTGTACACACAGTGAGTTTGCGTAATTGAGAATCAAAAGTCGAACAGATTACCTTTGACGCGCCTCCCGCTTGCTTTCCACAGACATCGGAGCGACAGACGTAAACTTGACTTCCACATTTAATGGGATCGAATTCAGTACTTTTGGTGCCTTCGTTTTTTTGGCAGAGGTAGAAGTGGACGATGAATCAGCTACCTGTGCCGACGCATCTTCTCCGGTGGATGAGGACGAAGTGCCATCACCAAACAAACTTTTCAATTTACCTGCATGCCTCGTCAGAGATAGCATACAGCATGGACGTGGTGAATATCATACCTGCAATCGATTCATCTTTAATGTCCACATATGCAACAACCTCTGGCACTGAGATGAAACCAGACTCGGACAGCTGAATGGTAGCCTTGATCACGGGATCGACACCTCCATTTTCTGTCAAATTAGCAAAAGCCTCCTTGACGCCTGTAATCTTGACCTCCAGCAGAGCTGTCGGAAATTCACTATCCAGAAAGAAAGAGTCAACAACACAGTCGTCACCGGTAAAGATGAACGAACTCACGGTGCTGGTGCCACCCGATATGCAAACTGCAGGTCGAAATCGCCCTTGCGCTTAAATGTCAGAGTCTTTTTCGTACCAGTCTTTGACCCTTGAGGGAATACCGTCGAGGTGATTGTTCGTGGGCGCACTCCCGGACCATCCGCCTTGGTCTCCGCCGAGTAGGAGGTCTGGATATCATAGGGAGTGATATCGTTGACCTTGATATCGCGCGTGCGGAATTGTCGGCTGAGACTAGCGCCGTGAAGGGCAGCACCTAATCCGACAAGTCCTTCAGCTAAATTCATTTCGATAAGACCTATAAAAAGTTACCCAGAACAGCCGCTTCATCAGCGTTGACATTCATAGCAATTTTGCTCTCCCCGACTGCCTTCTTTACAGCAGCCTGCACCATCGGCGTTCTGGACGCACCACCAGTCAAGATCACGGAGTTGATATCAGCCTAGGGCAAAGAATCAGCGCTGGTGTTGGTTTGGCTATGGCACAACTGACGAGTGTTAGCCCAGCCTCGTCCAATGCATCATAAATTGGCTGTGCGAATCGGTGTTTGATATCAGAACACATGCCCTCCAGCGCAGCACGAGAAACTTTGGTCTTGAAGTCGATATCATACGCGAGGCTCTCAATCTGTCCACATGTCTTCAGAAAATAAGCAGCTAGCTATCAAATATAATGGCTCACTGTAGCCATAGCTTCTGAATTCGCACTCAGAATCGCTTTGACGCGACCAGCTTCCTTCCAAAGCTTGGCCATGGCTTTTGGGTCACTGCGGATATCTCTTCCGTACCTCTTCGAGAAATCCGCGATGAGGATCTCCCTCAAACGCCTGTCAATTTCGGTGCCTCCAACGACCCTGTCGTACCCAATGCCGTTTACCGTGACAGAAGTCGTATCTTTCGCACTGTTACCCTTCGCATCCCCTGAGCCTGTTGAGAACGTCACGATAGTAGCGCGCGTAGAAGAAGCGCCCGCATCGTAGATGATGTGTCGCTCGGGCTCTGGGAATGAACGCGTCATGGCGTAGTTAATCGCGACTGCCGTACCGTCGTTGATCAACGTCAGTAACCTGAGACCAGCTATTTCGACGGCGTCTGCCAGAGCGTCGCGCTCGAACTGAGTGAAGTACGGAGGCACAGTAATCACGACATCCTGAACGCGTTCGCCGGCCGCTTCTTCCGCGAGATGTTTCACGTAGGCTAGTTGGTGTGCGACAAGCTCTTCCACCTCCCATGTTTTCCCTGCCGGCTTTGGTATACCAACAGTGAAGCGGGTGGACGCGACGAGGGTCGGGGTAGCAATGGTGGTGTAGTATGAAACAACGTCGGCATTTGCAGGCGCGCCAAGAAGGTATTTCAGGGAATTGAAAGTGTCTTTGGGGAACCGCGTAGCCTAGAGAACACCACAGTCAATCATTCAGAGCGACATGAGTACAGTGGTTTGAGAGCAGTGCATGATGGTTTTGCAACATGTAGGCTTCAGATGAATTTCTCAAACCTTCCGTCATTGAGGACGCAACATGCTCAAGTACTACTCCTGAAGTAAGTATCGCGAACTCACCAGGTTGAACGCGTCCGAGCCAAACAACCGCTCGCCATTCTTCCACGCGACCGAGGACTGTATCTTCCTCTTCGAATCCTTGTTCAGGAGCACGTCAAATGGAATACCCGGCTTCATAAGTGACGCCTTCATCCAGTCGGCGCCATAGTCAATCGCGAGAACGGATGCCGCTACGGTTGTTAAAGCTAGAAACGATAAAGCGAGGAGAGACAGGAACGCCAGATGCTGGCGAAAAAGATTCATGGTTCGTCGATAGAGACTAGAAACGTGGCACGGGCATCGACGTTTATAAAGGTGAGATGGATGTAGCAGTGAGCTGGAGCCAGCTCAAGGACTAATAGATAAACGTGGTCAAGTAACTGCCACGTCACACTCACATTTTCGAGGCTGAAACTCGGACGTCTCCACACTGCTTTTACAACGATGCAGTATTAATGTATATAGCGGTCAGCGTATTGTACTGTGGTGCACCAAACAGTACTTCAGACAACTCATGTCGTTGGACAAGTTCCTATTTTCCTTTGCCTTGCGAGTCACATGATTACAAAGCTCAGTCATATGCTAGGTGCGCGTCGCGTGTATCACGAGCATAGGCGGAAGAGAATGCATTTGCTAAGTCAAGCAAACCAAATTTATTGGGAGCCACGCAAGCTTGTGATGTGATGCAATGTCAGGAAACCAGTGCCAAAATGCAAATGCTATGTCCATGAGGTGTCAATGTCGAAGTCAAAACCATTGAGCGGACCAGAGTACGATAAACGATGTGAACTAATCCAAAGATATATAGTAACTCGAGCGAAAATTATCCAGGTAGATTCATCAACAGGTATCAACCAGCTTATTCTTGGGCATCGATTGGTTGAAGGATGGGTAGCTCCACAACGTCAAGTTCGGGTTCGTGTACGCCTCGAGATAGCTATTAGATCATGAGAATAGTAAATATATTATACACCAGAAGAGGTTTTGGAGGTAAGACGCACGTATCGATGTAAGCCGCAGTCGGGAAGTCGGGGGGATCACAGCCGACATTGTGCGCATCCTTTGGCTGATAGACACGCACATAATCGATCAACATGGCAGTGGGAAGTGTGATCGTATTGAAGTCAATCCATCCAAAGTTGAGCGAGAACCCTAGATTCATGATGATATACTGACGAAAGCCATCTGAGTGGATGAAGTGCGATGGAGATTGAAAAAGGCTCACCATTGGTTCCTGAGGGACTGGCCTCGCTCCGATCTCCGTTCGTTTATCTGGACCCATGCCCGCACCCATGAGCGTCCACGCCACGGTGTCGTTCACGACCCAAGTGATGTAAGAATCGTCGAACCTGACTCTATTAGCCTCTTTGAGCGTCGCAGAAGACCAGAAGAATCTTACCCAGGCTTATATTCAAATGCATAGATAGAGAAACAACCCGATTCAAGTTCATAGCAATTCTGGTTTGTCATGGACAATCCGCTTGTTGTCTGCTGGTACACACCTAGATATGAGCAAAGCGTCAGCACATGGTTGTCTTTTTAGTGAAAGATATGATTTACCCCCTTTATATCCATTGAGCGCCGTGATATCCGGGTTCGGAATGATCAGATTCGCGGTGGTGTTCAACCAGTCATATTGAGCCTATACACATATCGCCAGACAGACGGAAAAGCAAATGAATGGAAAAAGGCGCCAAAGCATTCAATCAAAGGAGGGGAACATACGTTAAACGGTGCCCATTGTCCAGACTGAGATACCTTGCCGATCCCTCCATCAATAGTGGCCTCGAATATATCAATCTCAGGCGCGGATCGCCCCACGTACGACCCATCTGCCCGTGCGGGACCTGGATGCGACTCGCCAGGACAGGTGCAGGCTGAAAGACGTTGACCACCAAGGTAGGACTGTAGGACCAGATATCAAGCCTCCTTGGTATGCATTACGGTCGCGATCAAACAACTCACAAGCATGTTGAAGTTGGAAGGGTCCCCCTTCTCGACCGCTGCCTGCGGTAAACTGGTCCCGGGGTAGGTTTGGTTAGGGAGTGTACCAACGTCGCACGAATCATACGAATATGGCCACTAAGATTATGAGCGTCATGATCTATGATTTAGATTACTAGGTCGTCAATCATACCATGCCCTCAAGCGAAGCGCCATAACCAGCACGGCCTACAGACACACGCGTGTCATGTGGGTATTGATGATTGCCTGTGGATAGCTTCAAGACGTACCGAGGTTACCCATAGTCCAACTGTTGATAGAATGTCAAATGCTATTCAAGTTTATGAGGCTAATACTTACACGGCTGGCCAAAGACCCCTAAAGGAATTATTCAGTAACAATCGCAACGCGATGATAATCAAAACGACCCACGATATTTTGCTTGAACCTGGTAATTGGACAGAGACTGCGTGAGGGCAAATGACATTACAACCTGGACCCTCTTGATATCGACATGTACTAACCTTCGATGATGCCACCAGTAAAACAGAACTTATTCCTGCAAGCAAGATCACTGGTCTATAAAAAGAAAACAGGCATAAGAGGTTGACGATACCAGGATTGAATCTGTTATTTCGACGAGTTCAGTCCTATTTGATGAAAAAAGTAGTGAACCAGACTCACCATGCCGGACACATATGATAAGTCATGGTTGCTGGCCGGGTCGGCTTTTGCTAGAGTCAACCTGAGATAGCCACCCTTGGTGGTCGCCTGTTTTGGATCGTACCACTCAAGATCATTCTATACGCCAAACAGTGTCGTAAGCTCAGATCTTAGACAAAGGCATAGGCGCAAGAATATAGTATAATAGCGCACTGTTCCCCAATAATGGTAATCCGTCGCCTCCCAGAAAGGATCGTCACCAGGATAGAAAGTGCGTCCATCCAGATTGAATTCATCTGAAAAGACGAGATCCCACTCATCGTTTGCATTCATATATGATGCTTTAGTGTACGCAGATGCCGGAGTTTCCACATCAATAAGGCTAACGAGGCCGGGGAGCGATGCGACCTGCCCCGTAGCATTTGTTCCGCCGACATTGAATGCACCTTGAGTCGACTGGATACGTTTCGTGAAATGACTATAGATCGGGAAACCTATCAAATACATTCATAGATATTAGATGTCGATTTCACACTGTAGAGGCGAATCATACCTGCACTAAATGTAATCCAAGTCAGCCCTCCACTATCAAAAGGTGAAACAAACAGAGACGTACAATAACATCAGCATTCCTAGTACAAGAAACGCCATGAATCCGAGGTTGCTGATGCCCCGTGCCGTAAAAATATGTCCCCCAGCGTCGATATTCCGGTCACGCTTCGGGTCAGGATTGTGAAGGTAATCGTCTGGCTCCGGGGTGTTGACGAGCAAAGCATGTGATCCCCATTCCGCAGGGTTGGGCGCAAGCGCGAACTGATACAAAGGTTCCGTGCCCAATGGATGTGCACTCATTCGATCAGTTTCGACCCTCCATAAAGACGAGAGCAGAGAGACACACCCTGTCGGACAAAGATGGTCCCTGTGAAGTTACGATATGAGTGCTGAGAAAAGCAAGGGAACAATAGATACTATACCGGCGAACGAGGTCGTGCAGTCAACAGAGATTTTTCAGGGTTCGGAGAAACAGGATTATGACCAGGAGGCTGTAGAAGATTAGACGTTGAGCTCCCATAGCTCGCCTCAGAGTCTCGTATGAGAGAAGTCATGGTGTGTCAGTACTACGAGGACGAGAGCAGTAAGTAAAGCACGCAAATGACAGCACACTAGATGAGACTGCGAGACTGTGCTCGTATTATCCTGCGAATAAGAAGGGGAGGAAGTGAGGAGAACCTGAATGAGCGTGGGGGAGAGAAACGACGTAGACAAGGGATGAGGTAGAGGGAAACAGAAAGACGTGGGTCTAATTTTAGGCCCCCAAATGCTCGGCAAAATCAGTCTCATTTCCGAAGGGTATAATCGAGTAATCAATATTTTGGCGCCGCTTCGTGTTCTGTGAAAAGCTGAGGGAGTGACGAGGTGAACGTTGAATACTACAGTTGCCTCTTTCGGACTCGGCTGTACCTCGCGTCAAGATTTGGCCAAGCCTCTGTTTGCACCGTCGCTATGGCACAGCTTTGTGAACTGCCAAGTGGACGGGTTTGGGGAGTAAATACTGTACATGGAAGTTTGTGCCTTGCCTGCAAACGTTTTTACCAGCGTCAGGCTCAGCAGCTGTGAGCGACCTCAGTAGCAGTCAATCAAAGCCAATGAAACAACCATTCATTGATACTACCTACACCACATCACAAGTTACGGCACCTCAGTACGGAGCGCTTTGGTCAGTTCTTCGGCGCTAGGTCTCTGGGGTACAACTTCTACGAGTAAGCCGAGCTGACCGTCAAGGAATTCTGATGTTGTTGGTCCAATAGCGGCTATCCTAGCAGATTTCTTCCCTGAGCTGCCTTCAATGTCTCCGCTTGGACGAGACGAAGTCGACAATAGGAAATATGCGCGCAAAATAGGCACGACATAGGCAGCAGCAGAGGGCGCAAAGAACGTGACCCACCAAGGTGTGGTGGCTGCTCGAAACTTGTCAGTGTCCTGAGAAACAAAACAAAACACGGAATGCGACACTCACTGTCGGACACTCTTCGAAGCGCTTCCTCTAGGTCTGTCCGGAATGTCTTCGATCCTTGCGTTGCATACACTTGCAAACCCATCAGCTCTACCCCACCGCTCTTCAGTATGCCCGGCAAAGTCTCTCTATTCTTATCCCCTGTCAGGTACAGTAGCTTTGTCCCGGGGGCAGATGTGTCAAGGTCGGACAGGATGAAATGAGCCAGAAGTTCCGCAGTACCTGATTCCGCCGCCCCTCTTATATCTTTGGGACATAACAAGGGTCGCGATGATGATGAGATCGAGGAGAGGCTGTCAGCTGTGGCAGCACCGACGGCGTAGAACGGCATGGCAGTCCAGTTAGCTGTAGCAGAGAATGTGTCGCTTGAGTTCCGAAGAAAGAGCGGGATGGAGAAGGAATAATACCTTCATCCCCGTTACCCAAATGCGCTACGCTTTCTACTGCATTTGCCCAAGCCTCGGCTGCCCTAGCACTCGTCACGATAACACCTCCAACATCTTGAGGACCCGCCGCTAAAAGCTCACTTAGACCATGGATGTTCGCGAACGCAGTTTCCAGGACAGGTACAGAGACAGGATGGAACCCTGCACTACGCAATGCCGTTTCGTATCGATCGGTCTCGGGAGGAGATGTAGGTGCACGTAGCAGCAGGACTGGAGTGGCCATTACCGAGGATTGATGTAGACCCAATCGACGCAGTTCAGAATAGCCAATCAAAGTAGTAAGTCGACAACAGGTGCAGAATCGGTCGCACAAGGGGTCCGTGGGTCAAGTGTGAGCGTGAACCTGCAAGGAGCCATCGTGGACGTTTGGCACAGGCCACGGCCGAACTGAAATTAGATGTCGGAGTCTCACTCGATCTGAAACTCCCTGCCAATTACCGGATAGTAGCTCAAGCTTAGCTCTCAAGCACTACTCAAGCTTTCACTGGGCACCGTTGTGTAAGGTACGCGCAAGAAGCCAGATAATCCACCTTCCACATTATACTTTGGATGAGCACTGATATACTGATACCCAGTGCGGGGAAACCTCAACCGTTCTCGAAGGTAAGATATACACTTGCGGCATTCGTTCGTTTTCACATAACAATCCCAACAGCCAGCCGCCAGCACCGTGTTGCAAACTTCCGACATGTCTGTCACGAAGAAGGAAAAGCCTCTGCACTCTCTCATTGCGGGGGCGACTGCTGGCGCCGTCGAGGCGTGAGTCTCACATTCCACCTCTTCAATAACTCCATGTCGACAAATACTAAGCAAACCCAAGGTAACAGGTTCGTGACCTACCCTGCCGAGTTTGTCAAGACGCGCTCTCAGTTCGGCGGTAAGGTGCGCTGTGCGCATAGGCTGACTCGACTCCCCGTTCACCTATGTTCCTCTTCATGAACAGAAGGAGCCCCCATTCACAGTCATCCGAAACACTCTGCGAACACAAGGTCTCAGCGGTCTCTACTCTGGTTGCACTGCACTCGTCATCGGTAATTCGGTCAAGGCTGGAGTGCGTTTCGTGAGCTACGACCACTTCAAGGCGGCTCTGGCTGATCCAGAGGTGAGCAGATCTGACCCATTGTATTCACATGCACCTATAATATGAGACTCACGCGTCAGTAAATCTATCCAGGGCAAGGTCAGCGCCCCGCGAAGCTTGCTTGGTGCGTGATTCACTTGTTCGCTTATTTTATGCAGCAAAATTTTTTACTAACGAGTTGCTATGTAGCTGGCCTCGGAGCTGGCATGATGGAGGCTATATTCGCTGTTACCCCATCAGAAACAATCAAGTACGAGTTTGCTACACTTTCTCGGCCTCTTTGAACCTATCTCGTCCAGGACGAAGCTTATCGACGATGCTAAGCGACCCCAGCCGCAATACAGGGGACTGGTACACGGCACGATGTCTATCGTGCGCCAGGAAGGTATCAGAGGAGTGTATCGAGGCTTGTTCCCTGTCGTACGGCATTAAGTTGTCTCGTGTGATGATATCCTTTTGACATGGCTGCATTGCAGATGATGCGCCAGGGCGGAAATTCTGCTGTCCGCTTCACGACCTATGCGACCGTGAAACAGTTTGTACAGAGCCGGTCACGTCCCGGCCAAGTACTCCCCACGGGCGTCACATTTGGCATTGGTGCGATTGCGGGAATCGTCACCGTATATACCACTATGCCCTTGGAGTATGTGCTACGTCGTCCTCGCGTGCAAGTGGTTGCATTCTGACCAACATCGCATTGTGGCAGCGTGATTAAAACGCGCATGCAATCCCTCGAAGCGCGAGCGCAGTATCGCAATTCATTTCACTGTGCGTATCGCATTTTTACTGAGGAAGGCATTCTGCGGTTCTGGACCGGGACTACACCACGTTTAGCGCGTCTCACAGTGAGTAAAAATGTGCTTTTTAATGGAATGCTGACCGAAGCTTCCTTTAGCTGAGTGGAGGAATTGTGTTCACCATGTACGAGAAGATCATAATACTGATTGGAGGTCGAGAGGTGTAAAATACATCACCCAGTGGTGTCATGCTCCACACTATACCGCTGATAGTAATGCCTCTGTCACGGATACTGCGGATGTACACGTCGATATAGTTATACTTCATTCGCAGCATGCTGATTTTCGAGGTGACAAGACGGGATCATATACTCAGATCAAAACCAAAGAACATGAGAGACGACGGCTTCAAGAGGACTGCCATAGAGCACGTATCCGCGACAAATGCTTCATTCATTGATAGATGTAGCTACAGTTGATAGCGAGTTGATTCTGTAGGGAAAAGATAGGATATTGATACAAAAACAATGCTGTGATTAACTTGGAACAGACCATTAACTCGGGAACAGTGAGATCGACCCTGCCAGCTTATGCGGACTTGGAGACATCATCATGCTGCTTCTGGAGATCGGCCTAAAGAGAAGATATAGGTGATAATGAATGATACAGGCATCCAATGCGGCGCGAGCTTACCAGTTCAGCCTTCTTCCTGTCAATCTGTGCAAAAAGGTGTATACCGGCAATGAGGAAACGAAAGCAGGAAAGCGAACGCGAGAAACGCACCTCTTTCTTCAACTTCTCAAGTTGTTCCCGCTCATGTTTGCGGGCGTATTGATCTGGAGGCAGTGTTGATTAAAGGACTGGTATTTCGTCATACTCATCTCAATGATCACCTTCATGAGCCTTCTCTTTCTTTCTAAAACGTGCGGCACCCCATCAGTACCTCCAGCATCCGAGAAAGCAAACGAGCTTACCCAAACTCTTTACTTGTCGCAACGCTGCCCTCCCTCGCGCTGGAGGTGTATGTCCTGGCGCCGCGAGCGAGAACAATCGAACGGGGTACAACACGAGCGAGCATCTTTGAAAGTGCTGAGTAGCGAGCAAACGAATAGGAGATGCCAGGCCGGTGAGCGCCGAGCGACCTTTTATGACGCGTCTGCGGAGGTCTGCGGCCGGCGAGGCCGATCCAGAGGCTGCCCGGGACTGCCCGGGAGTATTTTGTCACGCCAAGTCACCTCACGCTTTACCTTCACCGACCACCCGCAATGTCGTCCGCCCTCAGATATGCTGCCAGCGCCGTGCGTATCGCTGCTGGAGCCTGTTCAGAAGGATGATAAAGTGGCGCTAATGCACTCACTTTCGCTGTCTAGGCTCGCACGGTTTCGCGCTCGCGCACGTTCGCGACCAGCGCAGTTGCGCGGAAAGGCGAGTCAACCCATTGACATGGCCGTCCGAGTGTATTTTCGCGGGCCCTTGGCAATCAGCTCATATATACTGACGATTTGGGCTCGCTTTTAGATCTTGTTCAGGACCTTTACCTCAAGGAGCTCAAGGCCTACAAGGCCCCACCCGCCGTATGTCTTCTTCCCGTCACCATCCATCCATACATCTTTCACCACCTGTTCGACTCACCCCAATCACTGTGTGCTGTCCTATCAGGCAAAAGATGCCCATGTTGGTGTCGTGAAGGCCTACAGCGCCCCTGCTGCACCTAAGCCTCCAACTCTCCCCACCGATATTGCTTCTGAACTATCCGCCTACGATGCGGCAGAGCCAACGCGCGCGGCTGTTGAATCGATCCCCGTTGCCGCTGGACAGAGTGGTGCCGGTGCGGAAGCATACCTCGCATTCCTTGAGGCTGATGAGAAGGAAGAGGTACATCACTGAATGATAGGCGTGTCGGGAGGTCATAGAGAGGGTTGGGCTCTAGGAGCAACGTATTCAAGCAAAATAGACTGGCTGTCAGTGCGTAGAACGCAATGAACTCTCCAATCGTTTTGTCCCCTACCCATGTGACGGTGTAGTTTGCTGACCGTCAATTGCACAACTTGCGGTCATAGCCTGAACGTCATGGCACTCACTTCAAAGGGATGTTTGACAATGACACCTGCGGGCACGCGGGAATGTCGCAGCTAGCTGTCCCTCAAAATATGGTCGCCGATTCTATGAGCATTTTCTAAACATTGACTATCTCGCACAGGATCCGTGACTATAGATCATCAAGGATGAAGTGATATTCTAATAAAGTACAGGATACATTAGTGAGCTTCAATGGTAATCCGTGTAGGCGTAAAGCAATGCGATAGATGATATGCAGGGGAGGAGCAATGGTAAACAAGGAGTGGAGATTGCGAGCGACACAAGTAGAAAACAGACGACATGTTCTTTGCCAATGATGAGGACCTAATCATCTCAAACAGACCGACCCAAATCTAGGAGAAGAAGTAAAGCGACGACTTGATTTTGTTCACGTCGAACTCACCCTTCTTCGGAAGGGGTGGTAAGAGATCCGTGAGATTGACGAACATCCCCTCGACGGATACGTCCCTTGCTTCAAGTTCGTCCAATGATTTGCGACCTGGCCCCTTGCGCTTGGGGGTGAAAAGCTCCACAATTTCCTCTCGCGACAACGTCGTGGGTTCAAGGCCGGCCTTCGAATTGATAGACTTGCCTTCCTCAGACGGTTCGGGAGCGCCTGAGGCCGAATCCGAGGCTAAGACATTTTCAGGCACTATTGTTTCCGGAGTTGATTCTCCAGCGATCGTTGCTTCGGTGGTCGATGTTCCATCCTCCGCCTCGACAGCTTCTGGGTCAATAAAGCTCTTGCGTAACATTTGCATCCCTTTCAGCGCCTCAACAGGCACCTTATAATTCGTGTAACGTTCGCGGAACTATGAAAAAGGTGTCAGTGCCAGATCGAAAGCGCAAAGTAGCTTGCGTAAACATACTTCTGTGTCAAGTCTTCTCAGGACGTCCGACGAGTGCAACGCAATGAAGGTGTCTCGGATGATGGATGACATTTGATCGATAGTAGACGGATGAGTCCAGTACGAGTCATGAACAGAGGCAAAAGTCAATCCTTGGGTCTACAATTCGTGTGTTTCGTGAATACATCATCCTAGTGAAGGTAACAACAACAACGTACCCGGCACTCAAGAGCGGTCAATAGCATATGAGTTGCATCCAAGCTGTGAATGAAATTAGGAGGGAAAGCAGAAGACTGCTTCTGCGCATCAACTGAAGCATACACGACATCAGCCACAAGCCAGCACTATAAAAGGGGAAGCTCACCCTCCGCAGGAGCGTTTGGGTCAGAGATATATACCGACTGCACGCTCGTCATAATCTGCTTGCGCTTGGCCTTCCGGTAAGGCTGGACGATAGGGAGGCCGAGGGGGGTAGTCCACACCACAGAGGTCATCTGTTCCTTTTTCAGTCGGCTTGCTAAAGGCTTCTTGGAAGCCCTTGGTTTTTCAAGCCGCATGGCAGCCGACAGACGGTCGGAAGGAACGGACTTTGCGATCAATCGCGCGGACATAGTCAACCAGTTCATGATATCCTGTGCCCCAACAAAGAGGTCCCCAATGCATTGCAACACCTTGTCGGGATGGTCAAGCACTTCAGTAACGAGCCAGACTAATAACGACAAAGAAAAACTGACTTTTTTGGCGATATAGGCCGCAGCGTAAAAGATCTCTTCCTCAGGAATGTCGCTTCGGTCCTTCAGCTGTTTTTCAATTTGTTCACGAGCACCGACAAAGGTGACACCGTAAACAGTTGTCATAACCTGTTCTTCAAGTTAATTATATGGTATTACACCAAAACACCAAACCACTTACTGTTTGTTTAACCACTTTTCGTGAGATCTTGCCTGAAAGCATCTGAGCGTTCCTGTTACCCTTTGCGAGGTCTTCAAGAATCAACTTTTCCACCATGTCGGCAACATAAGTGTACACGTCAGATGGACGATCTCCGACGTCGAGGTTGACTTGCTTCGCGCCACGAGCATCCCCACCAAGGGCTGCATAATGCTGTAGACCATTACAGGTTCCATCTTGATGTACGGGGAGAGCACATTCGTACGCCAATGGATCGGGCGAATCAAGCGCAGATTTGAGCTCCATGCATGTTGCGAGACACTGCCATGGATCGTCAGCCTTAACCCACCACCGCCGACCCTATACACCGTATATAAGTTGTCAATGTTCATGCAAGATACCGCGAGACAACTCACATCTAGAGGCTTCTCAGCACTATCATAGATATTCTCTAGATGTTGATGGACAAACTCAACCCGTTCGTCGAATGTCGCTTTGTCAAAACCGTACAAGTTAGCCAAGTGGATCTTGAGCCAGCGAAGACCCCTCTCTCCGAGAGGCTTCGACTCTCCAAACAAGAGGAGCCCACGACTAAGGTCGTTGCCAATATGGTTTAAATGAGGGGGAATTGGGTATGCACGGCCACGGAAATCTAGATTATGGGGAAGGTAGAATATGTCGCCAAGGAACTGTAACGGAAGGAAATTGGTTATATGCGACGAATAGTATCAAGAAAAATCCTTACCGCCCTCGCAATCTCAACTTTGTAGTTCACACTACAGCGATCTGAATGGTTGTTGGCTTTGGCTTGAAGCCATGCCCGGTGTCTCTGAAGGTATATCGATCGCGCATTGGGATCAGAATCGACATCATCCGGTCGCTCTGGCTCTGGCGTGTCGAAGACAGCAGGGGGAAGCTTTGAAAGACGCTCGCCAGAGTTCCAGACCGAAAGGACGACATCGAAGACGCGGCGATTGATCTGCCAAGGGGTTGAACCAAGTACATCGAGTCCCGCGTAGACGAGTTCAACATTTCCCATGGCAGACGCGTGCTTAAGGTATGTTTGCTGCTCCTGTGAGTCTTTAAATCGCATGGCCTGCGCTGCAAAAGGTCCGCAGTTAGTCGAGATGTGATAAAGATAACATAATTGAGAGCTTACTTTTATTATAGAGGTATCCGCCTTCGTTATAGCTCAACCAGGGTTTGGGCTTTACCAACATAGGTAGATGTCGAGGATGCAGCGTCTCCCGCAGACCGTCTTTAGCCATCCGTTCCGCCACGATGGGGTTCAGTTTAATAACACCGAGCTTGTGCCCTCGCAAATACTCGTAGGAATGAAAGAAGGCTGGGTGATCCTCCGACACCGGCTCTCCGGTCGTCTTATTGAAGCCATTGCGCTCAATAGATGCTTCCTCCATCAACCTGTCGACAAGGAAGCTCCCCACTCTGACTTTGCACACCTGAGTCCACTCACTTGTCCATTCTTCACTGTCCTCCATATACTTCCTCGCTGTTACTCGCCTCGCGTGTAGATCCTGATAGGTATTCAAGGAGAAATAACCATGCTCCCCCGATCGAGTGGCGTTCACAGGGATTTGGATATTATTCTTCTTGCACATCTCTGCCTTGTGTTCCATTTCGACAGCCTTCCCCACAGCCAGCAGCGCACGTGCAGTCTTCATCCCATCCGTTACGCCACCCGTTCCCTGAAGGCGCATGATCTCCAGGATTGTAATGAGAGACAACTTTTCGGGCTTGATTAGTGATAAAAATGGAGCTATCCGAACAGACTGTTCACGGAGGGCTGCAGAAAGATAGTTTTGTTGAGTATCAAAGCACATACAACGACAGAGACAATACTCACAAGGTCCCCAGTGTTCTTCATCCCTCACCAGCTTGGTGAGGTCTCTCTGTAACCGCTCCCTTAACTTGACATGCCAACCCCACATCCACTTCTGCAGATCTGCCTGCTTGAGTCCGCCGCCATCTATACCGAGCTCTTCAAATATCTCCGACTGTCGTCGAAGCCGTTCTACCGCAACGTCGTACACTGACTCCTCTAGAAGTTTTTGTCGCGAGGCGACGTCTTCAGGCAGCACCCGCCGCGCGAGCACGACCTGTCCTAGATGCTTCCTGAGCACCTCCAAATTGAATGGAATCTCTTCTTGCGGCTCCGATACTCCATCAGGTTCGCCCTCTTCCGGTTTCTGTTGCGTAGTGATGTTGATATAAATTGAAGTTGAGCCTATAAAAGGATACGCACCTTTAGGATAGTTACAGGTTTAACTTCTGGAACGTCCGCCAGAGGGTCGTATTTTGTGCTGGCAAGGGCCTCAGCCTGACCGAGTTCGCTCACAATTTTGAACAAATTGAGTTCCACTGCTGCCTTGGAGAGCACCTGGATGATTTTTTCCGCATCCTCTGAGGATTCGATTGACCGATCGGAGACTACCATTGACACAGGGATCTGACGATCCACAATCTGGCGCAGGAGAGTAACTGGTGTGTGGTCGGTCACACGCTCAAGGGGATCCGGTAAGTCTGGTGACGAGAACCTGAATGCAGTATGAGACTTGGTCGAATTATACTGAAGGGGCTCATGATACTCACCTCAACCAGGCCAGAATCGCATGAGCATACGTACTCGCCGTTGGAGATACCTTTTCTGTTCCTTTCTCCATCACGTCAATCAGCATCCAAAGATCCTCTATCCAAATACCCCTTTTCGCTGGTTCCTTGGTCGACCCCATTCCGAGATATGCTTCAATGAACGCGTTGTAGAGCCTCGCCGAAAGAACTGGGTCGCCTGGCCGCTGAAGACGCAAATTGTCGAAGATCTGATGAGCACGGCGAACATCATAGAGGTTATGCAAGCATGCTTCCATCACAGCAAGAAGATCCTGAGTGGGTGAGTCCGTAAAGTAGTAGTTGTTCTGTGCCGACGATTGATCGGTTGGTAGCGGAGGAGGAATTATGGTGTAAGACAGAGGCTTGCGCAGAAAGCTATGCATATCGCTTCGCTCTGATTCCGAGGCATTGTGGGACGTGCTTTTAGATGTCGGTTGAAGATACGCAGGTAGATCCTGAAGTGCAGGAGAGGCAGTTGCCAGCGAAGACGCGGTCGCGCGTTTCGTAGAGGTAGAGTGATATAAGCGGGCAGGACGAGGAAGACGCTGACGCGAGTACGACAGCAAAGTCGTCTCTAGCTTTCTCTGAGCTGAGCGCTGTATCATTTCGGTGAGCTCGTCGTGAACGTCGGGGACGAGAAGGGGAGCGGCCGACCCACAACTCTCAATTAATTTTCTGTCGTTCCCAATCCGGAAATACACTGTTTGTGCAGCACAAACACATATATTTGAGGTTAGGGTTTCCTTTCACGTCGACAGCTTGACAGGAACTATCATACTACTTACTATCCCTGGACCACAGTTGAACAGGGTTTAGGTATTTTGGCCACCTATCTCCCGTAACCTCTCTAACCACTATAAAATTTATGTAAATACCTGACCAAGTGTCTGAATTTCACTATATTAATTTTTTTGTAATTATTGAAGGAGAGGAAAAAGCGTCGGGCAGTGACCGAGGAGGGAGACTCGAAAAACGGCGTAGACCCCAGAGTTGAACTACTAATCCGAGCACTCAGTCACACTCAGTCACGCGTGCCGATTAGAAGTCCGACGGTTTGCAGCTCGCGAGGTCCGCCACCTGAACATGTCGGAGCTTCAAAAAGTTACCTCTCCGAAGGCCGAGGTCACTCTGCCCACCCTCTTTCGAGTCTCTTTCGTCAAGGTTTTATTTTGGGCGTAAGCTCTCTACTGACTACCCCCAAATTTTTTCGCAGGATGCGTACTTACATATAGCTCCCGATGTCCTTTTTAGATGAGGTTCAGAGTGGGGGATCTTTTGGATCTGGACTCTTAGATGCAGAGAGCCATACTTACCTTTATTTTCTCTCTCCTACTCCACGCACTTTTCGTACAAGCCTCAAAGAATACACAGTCATTCTAAACACATATATAAACCTCCCTGGATATTTATAAGACAGCCACTTTAGTATGGAAGAAGCTACAGCGGCTGTTCACTACTGGTCCACTGTTCAACCTTCAACTGTGTTCCAGGGATAGTACGCGTGTAGTCGAGACCCATCAATCTCAAAAGGCTCTACATCACACCAGCAAAGAATGGCGAAAAAAATCAATAAGGGCCGGGTATATGTGGCAGAATTGGAAGTAAGTCAGGTTATCGTCAGCGAAAGTAAAAACTTTTATCCTATGTATCGGTATCAGATACCCTCGCGGTCGTGTTAAAAATGAATGGAGTGCGAGGTTTTGCAAGGTAAGAGAACAGTCATGCAACTAGATCTTTAATTCTTCCTGAAGCGCGATAGGAAGGACTTCTTGCCAGAGTTAGTGATCGGGTAGGACGTAGCGCCTGACATGCGCTCCCTCCGTCGTCCGAAACAGACTGTGCAACTGGCGAGGAGAAGCAAGATGAACGTAGCGAAGGTAATCCAGAATCCTGCAAATGTTTATGGTCAGTATGAGTCTTTTGAAAAGCGGTCAAAAACTAGTCGGCATACCTGGTCCTGTGATTGTACGCTCTGAAACTCCGTCGAGGCCGCCTAATTTGTGCTTGACATACGCATACAATGCGATGTCGATAGCGAAAGCAAGCAACGTGAGGAAGGTGGCCAGGCCAGAGACGAGGGATGATATGAGCGTCACAGTGACATGGCTAGAGAACGAGAGTAACAGGGCAATGAAGGTGACACCCGTTGCTATTTTGTTAGGCAATGAGTACTATATCATAGACTCCCAGGGGAACGGAAGAGACTGGTGGCTTACCGACGGGATGCACTGCTAGTCCACGAGTCCAGGAGGAGCCAATTGTGACTGATTCATTGTTTGTGAGGGTATGTATGGTCAAGGAATATCCGTGGCCTGTGAAACGCTGGTAAGATATAGCTCGTCGAGGTGCGAGCTTGCTTCGAGTCGGTGGCCCACAACGACCAAAGCAACGCATATGTAAATTCTGCCCACCTTGGTCAATGCACACTCTTTGACCAGTGGAAGCATCATATGTGCAGTATGCCCTATGAAATGGACAGATGAACAGGTATTCAAAGATGTTGTTGAGTTGTGGACAGTACGGACCATATGCCAAACTGTGGATTTGGAGGCGTATATCAGGACCTCATGCCCACACGTGCACAAGATTATTGACTCACCCTCAACTGGCTCATCTCCGCACCAACTCCTTGTGCTGGAGATCCATTGAAATGAACACGTGCGATATCAAGCGCAGGCAGGGAGGGCAGGGAAATAGATACAAGCACTCCTAGCACGAAGGCGCAGAACAAGAAGAAGATACCAGGGATACAGAAAGCGCGGGAGGTCATGGCGTGTCGTGCTGTGTGGGGGAGGAAGGAACGAGGGGAAAGATGAGCGCGGTGTGGCAGCGCGTTTTTAACATATCGGTCAACTCGGGCGGCAGCGCCGCGGAGTTGACCTAGTCTCATTCATGACGCGATGTGGTGCTTAACGCGTCCCCCGAACCTGTTCTCCACTTCGACCATGACTCTGAAGGTACACATCTTGTGATATCCTTGCGATCTTTGTACAGCCCTGTACAGCCCATGCCTATCGAGCACCTCGCTTGAACATTGTATCAGTTCTGATCATGTTTTCCGCTGAGGGGACGAATAAAGCCGCGTTTGCTCCGACAAGTCACACCACAAATATCAAGGCCCAAGAAATCACAACGGGCAGTGATGTGAGTCAGTACCTTACATCCTTACCCACACGGTTATGCTACCCGTATCACACGAGACCATCAGTCATGAGGCCCAGCAAGGCTCGCACAGCTGGGTTGGATGTAGAATGACAACGGATATTGAGCCTCAAGGCCTCAATACCTTCCCATGTTTTTGATCGCATCCTAGCTGCCAGCCCGCGCGGTCCCAATCATGATGGCATAAAGGTTTTCATCGAAGATGGAGGAAACCCATTGTTTTATGTACTGTTGGCGGCACACGCTCAGACGAGAACGAGGTTCTTTAGACGCCGTCGAGTCGGTTGAAATTAATGGAAGCTTTGTTTTGTATCAAGGAAGCAAGTGTGTATATTGAAAATTTACTCGATGTTCCGGTCAGGCAACAACAAGCACACTACACCCCCAGCGCTTTGTAGAAAATCACACGCGGTGAGAGATCCGAGCGTCGCATGCGGGGGTATGATCAGAAATAAAACTGTGTCACCTGAGAATGAAGCTGAGATTCGGCACATCAGCAATAAACTCAACTGAGTCCCGAAATCATGCTGAGGTAGCCGAATATCAGCATGATGCTGACATTCGGGCCGCGAAAATCTCTGAGATCAGCCATCCTCGTCTTGACCCCGCTGAATAAACATCAATTCAACTCAGCGGACTCAGACCCAACCAGCCACCAGAACATCAACTCCCATCGACATCGATGGTAGAAGGGTTTCAACACCCTGCTTGTAAGTAGAATCCCATCTTTAATATATAGCTACACTAAGGTAGTTCATGTGCAGACTGGAGAGCCGGTACCGGTGCTCACAAAAATTTATGGACTTGTTCAGCTTGCAAGGACGCGCGTTGGAAGACCGCGTACGAGGCCATCCGCCATGAAAAAACTTCTGCCCACTCCGACACAGTCGCCTTTCTTCAACAACAGACAGACCTGACAACACCGCATCCTTCCCTGGTGCACGAGCGTGCTCTCACGGTCGCCGCGCCTCTCACGCAGGTCTGTCGAGAGCTGTCCCAGGCTGCCAGGCCTCCTTCCCAGTTGAACTTGCAACACCAATCTCATTCCGCCACTCCCGGCCATCGTGACACACCAATCTTCTCTCTGGGTGGAAATCTCAACACCCCTCACGATCAAGACGCCATAGCGGGATTGGCACAGTCGCTCGCGGAATGGCTTGATGATCCGTCTCAAGCGCCATCGGAGCCTCTTTCGAATGCGCCCCCACCCTTCCTCGATGCCTACATCCCACACCGTAAGTCACCCAATCTCACACATAGTCCCAGAGACTCAATGTCACCCTATTTCCAGATGGCTTGTATACTGGCGCGCCACCCATGCGCAAGACTCGCGACAGCGCAGTCAATCCTGCGTGGTTCCCATGGCCGAACAAAGTAGTAAGTACCCTTTCATGTGCATTTTACCTTGCCGAATGCTCATGCAAATCACAGGTTTGTGTTCTCGATATTCTTCGAAATCTCCCTCGATCCCTCTTGTCCGACACGCAGATGGAAATCATCACATGGGGAATGATGAACCTTGGCATCGACGACCTACCCTCCATCTCCTCCCTCAAGGACACTTTTGGTGGGCTGCAACAGCGCTACGGCATCAGGACGACGCGTCGCGAAGGCGCCCTCGGTCATGTTTACTACACTAACAGTTTGGCAGATCAAATATGCCAGGTTGGTCAGGCATTGGTTTCCTTTCTCTGCCTTACTCATAGTCTTCGCATTTGACAGGAATTTAGCAACCCTCGTGTCGTTTCCCATCTATGCGCCTACCCCGAGGATGCTGGTAATAAGCTCGAGCAAGCGTGGCAAGCCGACCGCTGGCTGAAAGAGATCGAACCTGCATTAACGACGCCAATGATACGTGCACACGGTCACGACTTTTACATCTTCGAACCAACAAAGCTCAATGACGGACGTATCGTCTTGCCCACACGGTGGTTCTTCCGGACCAAGCACGAAAATGGCAAGGCTGTCCGCCACTTCTTTGGTCAGGCCTGTAAGCTGGAGCCCGTTGTAACCGATCAAGGGCCCAGTGGGTACATTGCTGTGGAACATGAGACACTGGAGATTGATGCTCGTGATCTCCTGTTCCCTTTTCCTAGGCTAGTTGATACTTTTCATTTGGATCATCTTCCCGATCCTCGAGTAATGTTGGGTCTGTGTGCGAGATCAATGTAATTGTGTTATTATGAATTGATTCTTGTTTGCGCAGGCACTGTGAAAGAGGCAGGTCAAGGTGTCCTACCATGGACACACACTCAAGACCCTTCGCTAGGCAATGACTGGCGCGTGAAATCCAAGGGCCACCGGGTTGAGGCCATGATGATGTGGCTATATTGTGACGACACGTCCGGCAACCTCTCGAAGAAGTGGAACAAGCACAACTCTTTTTTGTGGACACCGGCTGGCCTTCCGCGCGACATGGCTCAAAAGCAATACAATGTACATTTCCTAGCTACATCAAACATTGCTCCTCCCTTAGAAATGCTGGATGGAGTGGCAGCCGACTTGGAGTAAGAATCAATCATCTGTGTATTCCTTTGCTCATGCATGCTTTTTGGAACTTCAGGGCTGCTCAACGTGATGGCATCTGGGCATGGGATGTTGCAGCCCAGGAATTAGTGCTTGTGTTTCCCATCGTACTCGCGCTGCTCGGGGATAATCCGATGCAAAGCGAGTTTGCATGCCACATTGGGCTGCGTGGAAAATTTTTCTGTCGAGCATGCTGGGTCAAGGGCAGAGATGCCGACGACGAGAACGGCACAGTCCCCCAAAGGACTATCATTCCTGACATGGTGGTCGAAGATGGCCAGAGCAGGAGATATACATCTTCGATCGGCGAGTCCTCTTGTGACGTGAACTCTCAAGACGGTGTTACGCTAGAGGTGGCTCTAAGTGCCGGGCACAACACCAAAACAACCTCTAATGCAGGGGGTGCTGGAGCTAGTATCTAATATACAAGGAATTGTTAGTGATGACTTTAGAAATCGATGGCGTACTGAGAAGCAACGGGGAGTATGAGATTATAGCGCCCGAACGGTTTCGGGACTGCGCCGAACACCGACCGAACGTTCGGTCGGTCGTGTCGGGGATTCGGTCGGTAACGAGAAGGTAGTGTCGTGACCGACAACTACGTGCTTCAAGAGCCACACGGGACTCTGACAATAGACAAGGGAGGATGGGGGTACGAGCGAAGAGACGAGTACGAACGCGAATGAGGCCGAACGACGAGGATGACACGTTTTCGGGAGTCGATGAAGACAATTTCGATGGTTGAGACGAGTGCGAATGAGCTCTGAACTGTGGGGTGCGAAAGCTGGTTTATTCCAGAGTTGTATGTAGGTTTTTATAGTAAACAGCGCCCCTAAGTAAAATATCGAACCCGAAATGAGAGTAGATGTCAAATGGGCGCCAAGCCCCAGCGATCAGAGAAGATAAGAAGGTAGGTGAGATGTCCATATGGGTTCCGAAGGTGATAAGGTAAAAGGTAATCAGTGATGTCGAAATCCCGAACGTTCGGGATCCGTCGCCCGAGCGTAGGTAGCAGGAACAGGCGTTGGAGAGCCAATGAAAATAAAGAAGAGGTATTGTACGACCAGGGTGGCCAAGCAATGGTGCAAGATCGCGTTTGACCGACCATGCGGAAGTCAGGAAGATAAGCGATAAGGACCGACCGACTCACGGAGGACATCGGCCGATACGGAATACTGGCTCCGATCTCGTAAACACTTATCGTAACACTCCTATGCGGTCATGGTAAGTACGTGAAGTGTGGGCAAACTGACCCAAGTGCTGCCGAACGTCCTTCGGTGGCTTGTCGTCGGTCGGGTAGAGACCGACCGTGTTCGGTAAAAGTCGGCGTCTTCGGTACTTGTCGAGCGCTGTTCGGTATCTCCCCAAAGCTTCCCGAATACCTCCCTCGGACCCTAGCGCGGGTGCATGCTCATCAACGGCCAGTCCACATCGGGGCTCTCATCCGAGGGAATGCCAGACGGTGTCCAACCCGAAACGGGGGAGACTGTAGTAGAACAGCATGTACGCGCAACCAAGTCGCCTGTGCCGCGAATTGGGATGATGTCTGGGCAACTGTTACCTCCCAAAAAGCGAAAGGCGAGGGGGCTTGAGACGCTGCAGCAACTGGCGGATCGAGCACGCCGTTTTTTGGCAGTGAGTAGATTTCTTGAATGACTTCTATGAGGTCATGACACTATTCTTAGCCAACAGCCATGCGAAACGGGGAGGATACCCAACGCAAGCTCCGTTCCATATTCAAAACGGTGCAGAGGGTCGGAGGAATGAGCCAGGCAGCAAAATTGCACACCGCATACGGGGTAAAAGATACTTATCAAGACTCTTTCATCGACAGAATTGCGACCCTCACACGCAAACTGACTGGGTCCATGGCATCAAGACAGAAGAAGGTGGATGATCTAGTGGCAACATTTCCAATGGACACCTTGAGCCCGGTGTGGCGTATCAAAGGTACATTGTCGCTCTCTTGCTTTATTTTAGTGAACCGCTTAACTGATGATCTCGAAATTCAGGTTTGGACCCGCACTTAGACACCCCGGTGGAAATTCTTCACGTGGTCTTACTAGGGTTCGTGAAGTACTTCTGGAGGGATGCGATTGCACGGCAGAACACAGATCAGAAAGCAGTTCTCATTGCGCGTCTGTGTTCCCTCAATGTCTCCGGTCTGGGATCATCCAAACTTGTTGGACAGACTTTAGTTCAATATTCCGGGTCGCTGACAGGTAGAGATTTTCGGGTCATCGCACAGGTAGCACCTTTCGTGCTCTATGATCTGGTACCACGGGAATGCTTTGATGCATGGTTGGCATTGTCGCAGCTTGTACCTCTTGTATGGCAGCCGTCGATTCAGAATCTTGAGCAGCATCTGGTAAGTGCCCTGTTTCTCAGCCTGCTCCTCCCGGTGCTCATCGGTGGTCAAGGTCGAATTGAACCATCGAATCAAACATTTTTTATTGTGCACCGTCAAATGGACACCACGTTGGTTTAACAAACCAAAATTCCATATTATTCAACACCTTGCTTTTCACATCCGCCGTTTTGGTCCCGCCATCCTGTTCGCAACAGAGTCCTTCGAGTCTTTCAATGGGGTAATTAGAGATCACAGTGTCCATAGCAATAGGCATGCTCCATCACGGGACATTGCCCTTGGCTTTGGGCACTACAGTCGGGTGCGCCATCTTATGAGTGGAGGTGTTGTCTTGTCCCGAGAGCCTGGAGAGTCTGTACAAGGATCGAGGCATTCACGGGGCGGGCTGTCCCCTCCGGTCAATCATAGAGGGCTTGGTATGGATCCACGAGTGTGGTGCATGGCAGGACCAGATGCTCTGGCGCTGGTGTGCACCAGTGGTGTGCGCGTCAACTTTGTCGCAAGGCAGTTGGGCTTGAGCGACCCGTCATGCGAGCCTATTGTCGGTAAGCTCTTACTCACACCTTCTCTATTATACATCGTGACCGTGCAAGGTTGCTTGTCTAGGGCTGGTATGACGCGATGCCACGCCGCTGCGCGAGTGGTCTAGTTTGCACATCAGCGTGCATTTGCCAGATTCCATTCCCAATCCCCATCTACATCAGTACCTCACCTGCTCTTCGGTTACTGGCCACAATGGCGAGCGTGTCGAGGTTTATTCATGGGTTTTGACACAGAAGACACGCTCACCTGACTCTCCTATTCGTGTCGCAAGGGTGGTTGAGATTTTGCAAGTCTATGGGACATCTCAACAGCTAAATGGGTGTGCCGATCTCATCCTGGTCCTGTTTCATGATGTATCACAGCTAGCACCGACCTACATGCTGCCTTCCCTAGTCCCGCAAGAATGGGGTCTTATCTCTGCCAAAGTAAGTTGCCGTCTTTCTACATATGCCATATTTTCAACAGTGTCCCTCAGGATCTTCTTTGTCCTGTGAATGTGCAACACAATTGTGCGATGCACAAGTGTGATACTTCTGCACAGATACCTGTACGACAAGAAAACGAACTCACGACAACAACTCGACGGGCAGTGTGTCACAAGGGTAGGCTGGACTATGTCCTCAACGTTGGCCAGCTTCATGATGCATGCCACATGACTAGCTTTCGAGTTGCCCCTCCATTTATTGACGAGGACACTGCCATCCTCACGGGCGCTGCACGTGAAATAGATTCACGCAAGCGAGACGACACTTCAACCGCGGTGTTGTTGGGCCATGGTGCTTTGCGAGGGAGGGCCCGTGCTTCCAGATCAAATGGCACTGCTACGGGGCTATCTTCAGACATCATGCAAGGGTCTTTACGGGGCAGCACAAGCACAAGCGCCTAAGGTGGAGCACATGGGGGAGCACGCCAGGATGAGCTCGTACAACAGCCATATCCTCAACTCACATCTGAGTTGAGTTCCCAGGGTGGGATTGCATCGAACCTCTGAGCATTAGACATTGTGTAGTTGGAATAGCTGGATGTAATTGGTTTATTTTGCCCAACAAGGCCGGATAGGAATCTCGGTGTTACGACTGCTCGTCGGTAACCCCAAGAGTAGGAGGTTCTTCCCTAGGTCACTCGTGGAGGATGTGTGGAACGGTGGCCTCGACTGTACGTGTAGCACAGGAGCCAGGAGTGTATTGCGATATAGCAATGAAGGGTACTGTAGGAAGACAGTACTGAACGAAGATTCCTGTATGTGGAGATACAGGAGAACGAAGTAGACAGTGTGAAGACTGCCTAAGAACGAAGAGAATAGACTGAAGATCGTCAGCCTATTCTATGGGCCTTTTATACTACCTTGGGAAGTAAGGCGTGAGAATACCGAATATGTATCTGTAGGTATTCTCTAAGTCGTCTCTCTCAACAACGACTACTCTTGTGCTTCTCCGTTGGTCTCCTTCCGGCCAGGAGAGACTAGGAGGTTCATGCCCTGCGTGTGAGTAATTTATAAGGCGGCGTTCCATGCCCGCTAATACAATAGGCCCGTGATACTCGACCAACGATAAGGTGATCCGTTGGGAGTGGATGACCAAGGTTAATATCTGTACCTTGGTGTACGCCTCAACCTGTGAGGCCGCGTGATATTTGTGATGATCGTATCGGTATAGACCGCCGTGTAGGCCCGATAGAACGTGATCATAACAATACCCCCTTTCTACGTCCTATTCGCCTGGTAGGACAGCGCTGTGCGCTTCATCGCCACTCCATATACGATTTGCTTTCTTGATCCAACGATGGTCTCCGGATGCGACTTCCGAGACATGACTTCGTTTTCTGGGAGGAAGACCGACTTACGTCGTTTGATCCTCTAGGAGTTTTCCATCTCCGTTGAGCTGTTTGTTTGTTGAGTCGTGAGGGTATCCAGGCCTCCGCTCTCTAGGGTGTTCTTCCTTCACCCGTGGGATTGATTTTGCCGCGGGTAAACCTCATCGCGGTCTTACTTCCAGCCCGCTTCTGGAATAGCATCAAGAAAGGCGTATGAATGCGAGTGGTGTGTGGATGTGTAGAAACTCTAGCGTGTGGGTTCCGATTCGTGTCATCAGGTTCTTCTTCTTCCTTCTCCGAGGGCCAAACCTCAGTGTTTCCAGGATAGTCGTCTATCCTCGTGATTTGTTGTTCCTCTCGACGACAGTGGGTGGCGCCCATGGACAAGTAGGTTGATCGCTTTACGAAGGCTTAGGCCTACTTCTCCAGGCTACCAGTCATGACGCCCCAAGCAGTATCGCTCCCATACGGTGAGCTCATCTCCGGTGAGGTTGCAGCCAAATCCCAAGCCTCCGGTGAGGCAGTTTACGGCGTCCAGAGTTTGTTTTTCACAAACGTGGGCCTATGGTGGGGAATACCACGTGTAGTGTTGGGTTCGAGGCAAGGATGTGAAGAGAATTAGACTTGAAGGGTGCAGCGAGGAATAAGGAGGAGTCTGACTCCTTTTTCCGGGTCTGCCCGTTCGCTTGCACGAATTTAGACATCAAGACCACGGCTGATATATTGGTCGGGGTGCGAGATATATCCACGACTGGCAGTTTAAAACGTCATGCGGGACGGTCCGTAGTTTATCGTCATTTCGGACGATCCGTAGTTTAATCGTCTTTGCGGACGTCCTTCATCATCAACATGGGATACCTGTGGGGAAAGATGTTTCTGCACGCCGGAATTTCCATCGGTGATGTGCATAGGGCCATAGACCAGACTTTACCCGCTCCAGATCCCACTGAGGCATGATGGACGGTTTATACTATATCAAACCGGATAACTTGTACGTCTCAATCTCAGGAGACCGCTCAGTTTAATGCCGTGAGGTAGGCATCCTCGCAGTTTAACGCCGTGCGATAGGCATCCTTGCAGTTTAACGCCGTGCGATAGGCGGATTGCAGTTTAACGCCGTGCGATAGGCGGATTGCAGTTTAACGCCGTGCGATAGGCGGACTACCGTTTGACTATGTCCCTCGAGTCACGATAGGCTTTTCCTCCGAGGATGAGGGTAGTTTAATGTCATTTCGGACATCGTCGACACATTCTCGTCAAGAATGATGTCGACCGATGATCCCTATACTAAAAGGGACAAGTAGTTTAACGTCGTTGCGGACGATTCAGCACCAGAGTGATGAATCACAACTCCTGTACGGTAAGGAGCACGTAGTTTAATGTCATTGCGGACCGATTGACACCATGGCGGTCAATCCACGACTCCTATTCGGTAAGGAGCAAATAGTTTTCCGTCGTTGCGGACGCATTGGCGGCCAGGGGATTGGACGTCAATGACAACCCCTAGGTCAAGGGGCACCTAGTTTAACGTCGTTGCGGACGCGCGGTATCTTGTCAAGATCGCCACGCACAATCCCTAGAACGAAGGGACAGTAGTTTTACATCATTTCGGATGCCCGTAGTTTACCGTCGTTGCGGACGTCGAGATACCATTGGCCTCGAACAATCCCTATGTGGAAAGGGACAATAGTTTAGCGTCATCGCGGACGTTGTTTCGCCACAAATATTGTGGAAAAACAATGCTTAGTTTAACGTCATCCCGGACGCGACCTAGTTTTACGTCGTTTCGGACGTCGGGCGGAATAGACTTCGGATGAGTGGCCCGCTCTTGTCGTTCTTCCGCTATGTGGGCCAGACGAGAGTCGCGTGATCTAGTCCCTTCCCACTAGACCTTCGACTCGAGGCACGTGTCCTAGTTGCCTCCTGACTAGGTCTTGGAGCGGAATTTCTTGTACTTCGACTCCAGGACTAGACTGAGCGCTCCATGAAGAGATGCTTGCTCTTCCATGTCCTCAGACCCCTCGCTTGGATTTGAACCAAGACGACCCGATATTCTTTTACCGAAAAGCGAGTGAATATCGGAAGCGCTTCGACCTTTTATAGGCAGGGTTCTGTGACGCGAGTCCTTCCGCGCTTCGCCAGAATGCAACCACGCTCCTTGGGTCAATGGTAGTTTTACGTCATCTCGGACGATGGTAGTTTTCCGTCGTTTCGGACGAAGACTAGTTTAACGTCATTGCGGACCCTAGTAGTTTATAGTCATTGCGGACCAAGCCTTTGGTAGTTTTACATCGTTCCGGATGTAATTTGTGGCCTCGCATCATTAGGAAGACTTGTGAGGTAGAGGCGGCCCGCTCTCTACATCATCTCATGCGCCAGCTGTAGGATCCCCTAATGCGGAAACGATCCTGTAAAACGGGAGATCCAAAGTGGGACGTCCCAAAACACCAGTCAGACCTTGACTGTGAGGGTTCACGATACGAGTTATGCATCATAATTTCTTGACTCGGACTTGCAACCGGTTATGTATGGGCACTTCGCTGTACCAAGGCGAAGGGCCTGCTTGTCGACACCTACGAGTAGAGTATATGTCATGTAGAGGGTTCCCTAATGCGGAAAAAACCCTGTAAAACTGAGGATCCAAATGGGACGCTCGATGCATCTGTCAGATTGACTCCTTGACAGCGAGGATGTGAAAGGTTTCCGCCGTAGGTCGTACGTGGAATTATGCCCGCTGTTGTCCTTGATTCGTACCATCATTTGAACCTAGGACTAAATGGTCAGGTACTTCCCCTGCCTTCTTATCTTTTCACAGTTTTAAGACATGCAGGTCCGATAGTTTAGACGTCATTCCGGACGCGGGGTAGTTTAACGTCTCTTTCGGACGAAGGTCGTACAGTTTAACGTCTTGAGGGACGATCCTAGTTTTACGTCGTTGCGGACGATTGTAGTTTTACATCGTTTCGGATGTAATTTGTGTCAGGGGAAAGGAGTTCCTCAACTTCCTTACCCCCTTTCTTCTCCCTAGGCCCTGTTATTAGTCCGTTTAATAATCGAAGGGTCCTTGATAATCCCCGCCCCCTTCGTCAGGTCGGTAGTAGGGGTCCGCGTCGTCGTAATTTCCTGGATCGTCTAGAGCATCCCATGCATCGAGCTCGGATCTAGTCCAAGAGCTATTTCTTCGAGCCTCCGAATCAGCGCGGCGAGTTCTGCGGCTACTTCGGTTATCCTCTCTTTCGTTCGTACGAAATCGAGCACTAGGAGGAGGCGATCCAGGCCGGTGTCGAATACTCCGGCCAGCAGTTGTTCCGCGTCCGAGGGTTGCCTGGTTTCCCCGACTCCGCCTCCCCTCGTTTCTTCGATAGACGGGCGGTTCCTCCTCGTCGGTATTTCCTTGGGATAAGGGAAAACCTCGTATCCGGTGAGAGGGGGGAGTCGCGGTATGGCTATGCGCTGTAGGAACCTCTCGTTGTCTCGGTGGAGGGCGCTCCACGACCGTACGCGGAACCCTTCTTGGATTTGATACAGGCGTGGGATGTTCTCCGGGACGTGGTACGTTCCAAGTGACAACTCGGAAAGGGTCGGTTCTGCTTGGTTGGACGTTTCCCAGTTCTCCTCCGAAGAGGAGAGCTGGAAGGAGCTCTCGGTTGACATATTGGGAGAACTCGTCAGGGTGGATGAGGAGGGCTCGGGGTCGCCCGTCATTATGGGCGTACCAGGAGGCTGTGTCCGGGTCGGTTTGGAGGGCAAGCGTCCTGATCTGGCGACTGGCACTAGCCAGTCGTCGAGGTACGTCGCTATGTTCATTCCCGGGTTGTCCTGCCGAGAAGTTAGCGAGTCTTTGGAGGGCCATGGCTGTGGCCATTTGTATTACCGCGGAGATGGTGTTCCGCTGGAGGAGCGCGTCCGCGTGTCGCTCCAGTTCTCCGGTGTGAGGATCTGTACGAGGGGTAGGTCCTCCCATGGAGCTGGGAATCGGTCCACTAGTTGGTACTGGCGGAGGTGCAGTTTCTGATAGAACTGGTATTGGTTCAGCTTCTCCATGGCCTGGGAGTTGAGCTGCCGTTCTTGCTC